CTTTTTTTTTAAAATTTGAGCAAATTTTTTTTTTCCCCCCCCCCTCCCCCCCCCCCCCCCCCCCCCAATAGCTTTATTTCAAACAAGAAATATACAGGAAGAAATTAAAATATACAGGAAGAAATTAAAACACAGACGGTAGAGATATATACCGTCTGTATATTTATGTATACTTCGATACAGTATACATAAATACTGTATCGAAGTACATTACAGAACATGTAATTTATAATGTCAACATTAAATTAGTGCTCAATGGTTGTAGTCTTTCTATGGCAGATATAATATGAATTTACATTAGTGCTTTAGCATTAGCTTCTGCTGAATACTGTTGGTGTAGTCTCTTACAGTTAGCAGAAGTAGTGTTTATGATTAGTGCATAAACATTTAACTTAGCAATGTACACCACTGCTTTTGTTGACTTTATAAGTCATTGTTCTTTTGTTTTAGAAAAGGCCCAAGTCTAGTTCTAGAGGAAAACTGACCAACAAATAGTAGCAATAATAGTACAAAGCTTAATAAACACTAGTGTCACTGCAACAACCAAGAGATAAGATGTATTTTATTTTCTAAGAAGGTTGTTAATAATCTGGTTTGCTGCATTCACTGATCAAAAAAAAGGTCAGATTTTTGTGTTTGTGGATGAATGGTCATCCACAAACACATCACCTACAGCTGTCGCTGTAGGTGATGTGATTTCACCGCCTGCTGATTTCTCTGAGCATCCCTGTTTAGTGGTTGTATCTTCCAGCTGTTTGGGAGTTTAACATTTAAAACAAAATGGCTTCCTTTAAACCTTCCTCAATATTAAAACCTGGAAAACCGGGAGTCTTCAGACATGTTTGGTTTGAAACAATAAAACATTCTTTGAAGTTGTGCATACAAATATTTTTTACCAAAAAATAAAATATATATTTTATCTGTCAGGTGTTCCTTGAACTATTACTTGTTTTCATGTAGTAATGGACAAAGTTTCCCTCAGCAAAATCAAATCAGTTCTTCCATTTTAATTGGCCGAGTGCCGCAGGAGGGGTTTGAACAGCTGTGCACATATTTATATTTCAAGCTTACAAAGTTAAGCATTGTGATTAACCATGATTATTCACAATGCCAGAATGTGATTAATCTGATCATATTTTTTAGTCAATTGACAGCACAAATTTAAACCAATGAAATCACAAGTGATCCAATTGAGGAAGTTGTTGTGTTTTTCCCTGGCTGCCCTGTGGTGGGAAGCTAAACGGTTACTGTCAGGTTTTTCTCTCTGGCTGCCTGCGTTAGATCTGAGGCAGAGCAGGACAGGAACGCTTCACGTGGGCGACCTGAAGCCGCTGCATGCTGTCGCTGTAGGTGACATCACAGCTCCCACAGAGGAGTTGTGAGATCTGCTCTGACGGTCCTGATCCAATCCGTCCCAGGTAAACATCTCAGAAGCAGTTAGGAGCACCTTTGTGTCCGTTCAGAAGAATCAATACAGCAGTTCCCCGTCTTTTGAAAGGCCGCTCCAGTCAGTCTCTGCCGGTTAAGGTTTATAGAAATAGTCTGTACGCAGACTATTTCTGCGTACAGAAATAGTCTGTTGGTTTGTTTTCTCAGCAAGTTGTCGGTTTCTGCTGAGAACAGATGCGATTAGAAATGCTCTGCAGTTTTGGACTGAGCGTAGCATTGCTGCTGTTGTTGCCCCCCCCACACACATACACACACACACACCATGCATTTCCCTCATCCTGTCACAGACGATTACTGAGTCTATTGACAGAGATATCTGGGCATGCAACACCCTGACTGCAACTGTGAGCCTTTGCTTTTCACTCTGCCTGCTTGTTTCATGGCTTTGACACAGATCAGAACCAAATTGATTAGAGAGAGCACAAAGCTCCGACTGCACTCCTCCTGATTGCGTCTGTTCTGCCTGAGATGGATCCACTAAGTCCTTATGTAAGTGCAATGACGTCCGCTGACATTTCAGACTTTACATTGTGCAACAAATCTTAAGTTCTCTCTATTAAAAAGCCAAAAACATCAAAAATGACATATGAAATACAAAATGAAAAGTTTGAAAGTCCCTAATCTTTCACTATGGTTAAAAACATGTAAATAAAGAGGCAGGATTTCTCCACCAGTTGAACTCTCCTGCCTGTGAGATCAGCATGTAATCACATTGAAACACCGTGATGGCGGCTCAGTCAGTGTGGGGCTAATTCTCTCACAACGGCCGCTAACAGAGTGCTAGTAGCCTCTGAACTGGATTAAACTAAATGATCTCCAATCACTGATTCTAACTTAAAAAAAAACACCACTGAAGTGAAGAAGTAAAAACAAGAAACAAAATCTGACACTGATCAGTTTTAAGATTGATTTCTGATTTCCTCTTTCTTTTAGGTTTGAAGTTTGATTTCATTAAACATAAAATAAAAGAATAAGCAAAGTTACATACATAGAAATCACATTTAAAACAAAACCAAGCAAATAGAATAACAGTAGTGAAGTGTATTTACACATTCAAAGAAGTTTTTTTTTTTTTTTACAACCAGCCTTCCTATTACAGCATTATCCTATAAACTATTATTCATCTTAACTTAGTTATAAAATGTTTTCTTAATTTTCTATTTACTTATCTATAACTGATAAAGTGCTTAAATTTTTCTGAAAAGGTCAGTAATAAATTAGTTTGGCTTTAAACAAGAAAATAGCTGTTTGTAATTCCACTATGTCAGCAAATCTGAACAGTTTAGATTTTATAGATTTTATGAATAGTGTGTCTGTACGATCCAAATAACCGACCTTATTGATTACTCTCATTGTTCATTTCAGCAGTGTTTTAATGACTGTAGTGAATTTTCTAAATAGGCTTTTAGAAAATGTACCATCAAAGACCTATAATATAAGTGAGCATAAAAAGTGAGATTTTCATCCTTGGTAATAATAATATAATAGGAGCTGATGCATCATCTCTGTGTTAGGGAGCTATTACACAGGGTTGACTAGTTTTATGAAGAGACAAGATTATGTTGTTTATATTTGAAGCTTTTTTACATTGGATATGGTTTCTGCTATCATGTCTACAACTGTATTTTCTGTGTATATTCCCTACAAAATGTAAAAGGTTTACCTCGGCTGAGTTTTACAAAAAGGCCAACGTTTCTACTTCCTACTTGTTTTACTCCTTCAATCATCAGTTCACCAAGCTGATTCTGGTCAACAGCCAATATTTGTCAAATTCTTGACTAAATTGTATCTCTTCTTCTTTGCTCTAGAAATAATTATGCCTACATAGTATAATAATTAGCACAAGAAGGTTTCTGGCACCAAAAAAGACAGTTCTGGATGCCAATGAGGGGTTCCATCTGGTAAGGTTGAACAATCCAGTACATGATGGGTTGTATTTGTCCTGCAGTTTGATGGCTTCACCAGCTTCTCAGGAGGTTGTTGTTTGATCTTATCGTTTTGACATATTGTAGGGAACGGAAGCTTCGTCCAACACTCCTCCACTTGTTTATAGATGACACCGTTAGAGGGGAACGCTTCATTATAACTTCATTATAACTTTCTGCACAGCAGGTAACGAGCAGCTCACTGCAGGCAGATACAACACGGCGAGAAAGAAAACCGCCTCCTCTGTCATTCCTGCAGCTGTTTTCATTTTACATGCTCATAATTAGATGCTCCTTTGGGTGTTCGCTGCTGCTCAGATATTGAGTTGTCATTTCCTAGTGTGTCTCTGGTGAATCTGTATTGACTCATAAGTTGGATCTTTAAAGAAACCTGTTGGTTCCCCTTTCGGCTGGGTTTTTTCTGGTACTGGAACTGAGTCCTGACTTGCTATAGGACACCTGTGGAGAGTGTCCTATAGATGATGTTGGTTCTGATTCTGATTAAAAGGCTGGTCAGGGTTCTGGGATGAAATCAACTTTCTGGTTGCTGCCATCACCCTGGAGGGTCTGACAGCGCTGCTGTGCGTCACTGCACCTCCACACAGCGGTGCCCAGATTTTTATGGGTTTATGTGAGTCACATAGAGAAGAGGGCCTGGTCCGCACTTAGCCAGATATCAAACAAATACATGTTTGTGTGTTTTACCCTCTCATCCACCTTAAATCTTTCTTTAATATCACTTAAAACTATTATTTATTAAAAAAAAAAAAACAACCAAAGTGGATATTTAAAAGTAAGAGATCTAGTCCAGAGAAGAGCACATTATATTTTGGATCCTATGTTTACGATGTTTTTTGTTCAAACAATATTCAATTGTTCAAACGATATTCGTGTTTGATATACGTGTGGACGAGTTCTCAGAGGCAGATTCGTGACTCTCTGAGCCAAGGATCAGTGGAAGGTGCCAACTGTAGAGGAATCAGAGTAAAAAACAACCTTAACGTTGTTTGGCTCCCTCTCCTGCACCTGTTGGCCTGGGAGGACTCAGGTTGACATTATCAGCTGACTTGCATCTCTTTTTACTTCCAACCTTTTTATCATCTGACATCATTGATGTAAACTTCCCCGACTCTTTCTGTTAAGCCACAAACACACACTCCTATTTATTTCACATCTTCATTCAGCTGCCTAACTTTCTGTCTCTGTGTGTTTGTTGCCACCAGATTATAGATAATGGGCTGTGTGCAATGCAAGGATAAGGAGGCAACCAAACTCACAGACGACCGAGACGCCAGCATCTCCCAGGGAGCCGGATACCGCTATGGGGCCGACCCAACGCCGCAGCACTATCCCAACTTTGGGGTCACCGCCATTCCCAACTACAACAACTTCCACGCCCCCGTCGGACAGGGGGTGACCGTCTTCGGGGGGGTCAACACCTCCTCTCACACCGGGACCCTGCGGACCCGTGGAGGGACAGGTAAGGGACCCGGCAGCACCTTCCACATGTATTCATACCTGACATCACCTTACCACCACAAACTAAAGTGGTTGTTTAGATTTTTTTAATGTCATAATACATGCTGTTTGTTTTTTGTATACACAGTTGAAAGCTGAAGTTTACACCACATAAAAAGACAAATACACTTTTTTTTCTCACTGTCTGAAGTTAAATCAGACCAAACCTCTCTTGTTTAGATTAGTTAGGATTATCAAAAGTAAGTATATTTGTGAAATGAAACAATAATGAAAGAATATATAATAGATATATGTTCTTTTTTTAATTGCCAAATGTTGCCTGTCTTAAAAGTATCGGCAATTGGAGAGCAAAGAAAATGCTGAACATTAAGAGACTAAAACTGAACCTTTATGGTGTGTAGAAAAACAAAACTAACACTGTACATCACACAGTCCTCATATTAAATTGTGGTGGTGGCAGCATCATGGTGGTGCAATGATGTTCTTCAGCAGGCCCGTCAGAGTTGATGAAGATGAAAAAGTAAGCAGAGGAAGAATACCTATTAATCCTGGCTCAGTCAAAGTCCAAAAGTAACATAAGGAAAGACTTTAAAATGAATCTTCACAGAAGCTTTCTGTTAGATCTGAGTTTAAGTTGTCAGTCTGCGGCTGTAACTGCAGGAAACGTGGTTCTGCAAAGTATCGACTCGGGTGAGCTGAATCCAAACACATGAAACAGTTTCAAATTAGTTTCTTATGTTGAAACGTTTTCATTTTTCTTCTGCTTCTCAGCTGTGCTCTGCATTTAGTGATCTGTTATTTAAAACACTGATAAAATACATTTTGCAGGTCATCTGGGGTTTCTATGTTAAAGCATTCTCATAGAAACCCTGAGGCTGGCTGGATGAATTTTATATCATTTTATCACTTTTGGGTTTCTCTCAGGACTTCCGGATTTTATTAGCAAACTGGAGTTTTAGTAGCAAAGTCAAAGTAAGCTCAGCAGCAGCGAGCCTTCCAGCGCTAAGCGGGACCCAACATCTGAAGCAGCACTGCCTCAAATGTCGAGTATTTTACTTTAAACAGAAAAAGATGAGTCACCATGGCGCATTGCGTGGCTTTAACACAATTCATACTGCTAGAAGCCCACCTAAGCTTTATGACTCAACCTAAGGAGGACTGACCTGAATTCACCCAGGCAGCAGGCCCAGTGGAAAAACCAAAAGATAAACATCTGCAGCAGAATGATTTATTGTGAATTAATTCAGCTCATTTTAAGCAACAAAAAGAAAGCTGTGAAGATGAAGACAAGATTACACCGACTGGGAGCCTGACTCAGAACGTCCTATTCAAAGTCACAAAGCAATGTGACTACAGCAGTCGTCCCAACACTGCGAGAGTCAAAGGATTAAACCTGATGGATCAAAGATGGACGCTCACAGCAGTGGTCTGGTTGTCACTGGAGATTGGTTGCCAATAGCAACTCTCCATCTGATCCTTCATTAAATCTAATGTTATGTTAACAGTGTAAAAAAGTATAACAATATTATATCTATTCTCGAGTATTACATGGGGTACATTATTAGTGGGGTCACATGCCTCTTTACCTTCCAACAATTTTCAGTCTCTGCCTTGGTGTCTGTTGTAGTTTTCTTCATAGTGACCGGTATTTTGTCCCAACCAGGGGCTCTACAGAACGGCTTTGATATACATTTCCAACACATGTTAGCTCAATTAACAACGCTGCCATTAGGACTCAAAAACAAGAAAGGAAATAGGAGGAGCTGAGTCAGGGAGGAACGGTGGAGGGCTTAGGAGGAAGCTAAGATGGAGTCTGCAGCTCAAAGAAGGAGCTTTGTAGAAATAGGTGGTGCTTTGTGAGGGAAAGAGATTAGGCACAATGACTGGCTGCCTTATGGGAGATGGAGCACATTGTTGAAATGCTAGGCTAACGCTAACATGTTTTGATATGACTTGTTGATAGTTTAGCTCGTAACAGAACAATGGAGTTGAATTAATCATGTGTAGACAAAGCTTAAAGTCCTAGATGATTCATAAATGACTGTTTATAGTCATATTTATATATTACTTTGTGAACTGGTACCCAAAAAAACAGTGGGAGTGCAGCTGACCATTATAAAGAACGTAGTTCTTGTTGCCGTGGTTATGGTTGCCTGAGGTATGCCGAACTGTTTTTTAAACAAATTCCACCATTAGGTGAAATGAAAGCCAATCTCTTTGTCTCCTTGATGAAATGCAAATATCCTGTCACATAAATATGATGAAAATATTTTAGGAAATACAATTCCAGCATTTCATTTCAGTGGTGCCTTTTGAGAGATGAGATGAAGTTGTGTTTTTGAGGTTTCCTTCCTGTCACTACAGAGTTTCATGTTGGTATGGTCACATGATCGTCTCTCTCTCTCCCTGACCCCAGACCGGTCCTGTCAGCTCGTCCGCTTGGCATTAGCACAAGTCTTTGTGCTCTGAGCTCATTGTTTAGGGAGAGAATTTTCTTACTCAGGAAATCCTTTCTGTTTGACTGAGCCAAGCAGCTCTGCAGAGGAACTCAGCATTTCTATTGAACTGATCCTAACACAACACCTTGAACTCAAGGTGTGGATGATTTTCGGATGAGAGGCAGAAGAGCTGAGCAGAGTTTTTGTTTTGTTTTTGTTTTATTTGTTTTTTTAACTTCGTCCTGGTTGGAGACATTTAGACCTAAACGTTGGCTTCACTCCAGCCCGCTAGCAGGCGGCTGCCTCCATGCTCCCCTGTGTATCCACCATGTTATCGATGACCAGCGGATTTGCTGATGTCATTTTCCCAAACTGGAATACGGAGCCAGTGCCACGACATTACGCAACGCATTGACTGGCATTCCAACAGACAACACAGAAACCAATCAATGAATGAGTTTCAGCCTTTGATCTGATGGAACATTTGGAGCGCTGCACCCAGAAGGGTTTCCATCATCCTGCTTCAGCATCAGCTCCAGTCTGTGCAGTCCCTTTAGCCTTACACGACCTCCTCACATGGAGTCTTACTATGAAGAGTTTGCTGTCAGACTCTTCCTAGCTGCAGCTGGCGCAGTGCGTCTCTGTCAGCAGTCTACCTGCCGTTGGAGACTTTGTGGGGGACGATCTTGCTCTATTTCAGCCAGACTTGGATAATGTTAGAGTGACTGAAAAGGTTTTTTTTCAGGCCACTGCTCTTTATCTGAAGCGTTTGTGCCCGGGTGATTGGAGTCAGGCCGCACTGACTCAGCGTCTGCCCTACAAGTCTAGACTCTCTCCAGCTCAGGTCAGGATTTTATTCTAAGCAGGCTGGACTCTTCACATGAACGGAGACATATGCAGCTCAGTTTTAGATTAAAACCACATTGGATTTAAGTTTTTTATACATAGAAGGACTGAGCTTTTCAAAGCAGATTTGTAAAGAGATGAAGCAAATACAACTTAAAAGAAACTGGAATTTAAAAAAAATTTAGATTCAGAATGGCGACAATGATGCATTTCAAAGAAATTTGAAAATTATTAAGATGAATCGATACAGGGTTAAATAAGCTCATGTTGCGTATTTTTGTTTTTTGTGTGTTTTTTTTGTGTATGTGAAACGTCTCTCATAGTTTTCTGAGTTTTTTTATTTGTCAGATATAAGTTTATATTTTTTCTACTCATTCATGATTTCTTCTAGTTGTTGCATGAACTTTTTATAGTTATTACTTAGTGGATGAAATAAAAAAAAAATAAATGAAATAAAATTTTGGTGAAACAAAACTAAAACTGTTCCGTCTTAGCAAGGCTATGTGTAAAAATGAAAGCTTGTTAAAGACGTCTTGCAGAACACACGCAACTCCTTACTGCAAATGCCTGCAGGGTGCTAACCACTGCTCCTCTGCATCACTTCCACCTGATGCAACTTTGTCACAGTTTATCGCTTTCAGTGGGTTTCAGTGTCTTTAGCCCCACAGAAACCTGAAGTGCTCAGAGGATTTGCTTTCGTCTCCGAGTTCGTCTTCATTTACACTCTGTCCAGTTTTTATCAGGCCTGACTAGAAGATGGAGAGGGGAGGATGCAATAATAATAGAAGACTTCCAATAACTGTCTACACCATGATCAGTAACTGAAAGTATTGTGACGTTATTGATCATCCAGCAAAGAACGGAGAGCTGTGAGGTTCTTTAGTTAGGTCATCTACTCTAAACAGGTTTTGATTTTATAACTCTTTGGAAATCACCTTGTTCAAATACTGTGTTATTTTAGACTTTGTTTCAGATCAACAACAAAAGTAGGGTTGCAACTAATGAGTTAGTAGTCGATCGTTCTATCTATTATTCTGACAATTAATCTCTTAATCAATTTTTAAAAATTGGCACATTCTGCAGATTCTATTGCTTATGCCGACAATATGAAAAAACATTTTTTCATTTAAGCCATTTTTTATACATTAGAAATACTATTAGTCTCCACTCCACTAAACCTGACTCCAGTGTCGCTGGCAGAGCCCTGACAGTTTATCTGATCCAAAAAATGGTTAAAGCAGATTTGTTTAGCTTGAAGAATTAATATTTCCACATACATTAAAAGATGCATGTAGAAATGCATCTCAGGATGTTCTCAGCGTCTTTGAGAACAGCCTGTTCTGAAAGACGCTGATGGTTCACACTGTGTCGTCTCTCCAGGGTGTTGCGATGCTGTTTTGTAATTGTTGCAGCCTAAAATTGATTTTGCAGCAACTTTTTCAAAACGTTGCGGCCAAAACTGACATTTTCTTTCAAACTTTAGTTTTGTCGTAACATGTAACAAAGAAGTTGAAATTGCTGCACATACCTTTTACAAAGAGGCAGCGTTTTAACCTAGTTAATATTTAAAGTGTAAAAAACATTCCATATACCTTTAATACAAATTAAAGCCAGTCCTGATGGATTGTCAAAGTGCATAAAAACAATTCCTTATTGTTCTTCCAAGTTACATGATCCATTTACACAGTAGACACAACTCCTACAGAACATCTCTAAATGGGTTTGCAAATAAAAGAAAAGACAAACGTTACAGTTTAGCAGCACACATGTTTTTGTCATGAGATAGAAAACTCGAGTTTTGGTCACAATTCGAGTTGCTGAGTCGCAGTAATCGGTCAGAAAAGTCGGGAAACAGATAAAGTTGAGCTGATTTGCCAGAAAGTTGCAGTGCTGCGAGAATTTGCTTTAATTGTTGTGATCACAGCATCACAACTTCCTGGAGGGACTGGTCATATCATGTTACTGCCAGTGTTGCAGTGTCGGTGTGTTTCTGCCATCCAAAAGGACTGAACTGGTGGAGTGTCTGAGAGGCTGTAATATTTCATGCGTCATGCGTTTCCACTCTGCCTGCCATTCAGCCAGTCTGATGTGATGCTATAGGTGGGATTAACAGAAAATGCAGGTTAATCACAACTGCTACTCTTCTTCCATCATTCATACATGGTGTTATATTTGTGTAATTTGCTGATATAGCACAGCTCTTCTCCCTGCTAACCGGAATGATTTGCCGGAACATTCACCATGACTGCCTTCCTGTTCGTCCAGAGCAGACACGCTGCTGTTTACTCAGTGTTCTGGAGCTCATTTCACGTCTTCAGCTTCATTTTCTCTTGCTAATCTTCCAAGAGCTGACTGTGTTTTCCTCTGCTTTCCCTCGCTCTGCAGGAGTCACTCTCTTTGTGGCACTTTATGACTATGAGGCACGGACAGAGGATGACCTGAGCTTCAGGAAAGGAGAAAGGTTCCAAATCCTCAACAGCACGTAAGTCCTCGCAGCTGCTTATCATGGCGTCTGCATGCAGGCGGGATGCAAATACGACCCCTTATCTCTTAGCTGAAGGAGTTAGTGGAGGCAGCTGGGAGGAGAGCGGGCGCGCTCCCCGACTGAACGGGGGTCAAAGCGGCGGCTTGCACCAGGCAGTCCGAGGTTTGCTTTCATGATCTGGGACAGCACAGATCCCAGAATAAGCCTGCTGCTGTTTGTGGAGCTGGAAAACCATAAATGTCATGTTTAACTATAACACCATCCTGAGATGAGAGGCCCCACAAGGAAAACACTGTTGTTGTTTTCACTGCCATACGTCAGTCAGAGAGACGTGTATGGCGACCCCTAGGGTCCATAAATTAGCAAATACGCAACAGGTCTGTTTTATATAGTCAGAGATAATAAATGTCCATTTAAAACTGCACATATGAACAAGCCTTGGTGAGAACATGTTTGTACATTCTTAACTCTTTGGTGCAGATGCAGGTTGAGAATCAATCTATTAACTACCAACATGAAAAAGACGCAAGCAAAATTGTCACTAACTCTAAATACTTCAACTAGTTTGGGTGTATTTTTCTTTCCTTCTGTCATGTTTTTGTCTCTGAAACGGGACGGAAGCCCGTTTGACCGGTTCTGCTTCGACATTTTTAACATTAATCTGTGGTGGGTTTATATCCTAAAGAAAAGATTGTAAAATACTTCTATTAGTTTATATATCACTGAACGGCTTAGCACAACAATACATTGAAGATCTGCTGCTGTTGTCATAGCAGCCTTCCAGACCTCTCTTCTGGTTTTGCTCTGCACCCAGAACCAGAACCGAACATGGAGAAGCAGCATTCAGCTTCTATGCACCACAAATCTGGAACAAACGTCCAGAAAACTGCAAAACAGCTGAAACACTGAATTCCTTTAAATCCAAACTAAAAACCCAGCTGTTTAAAGTTTCCTTTGATTTCTAATAACGGGAACATTGATCAATATAGTTAATGTAATTTTGCGTGATGATCTCATTTAACAAAACGTAATGTATTTATTGATTGTTTAACAATAGGTTATTGTATGATGTTTTTATTACCTTTGACCTGCCTTGTTGCTGAAATGGGCAAATAAACTTGACTTAATGAAAACGTAAACAAAACCTTCACATATCCCATAAATAAGATATTAATATACATGGGCAAACCTAAAAACCTTCAGTAGAAAAACTGAAGGTAGAAAAACCTTCAGTATTTAAGATGCTGCATGGACTGACTACCAAATACATTATTGTGAGAAAACGCAAAAGAAAATAAATTCCCAGTCTCCAATAGATATTCCAAGGATTCAAAATGGCCTTTTCTTTTTTAACCTGGTGGTTTTGTAGCTTTTGGAACAAAGCAGAGCTCATTAAATTTGCTCCAAATGCCAGTGTAGGTTGCTAATTTCAGGTTTACACATGCATAAACAAAAAAAGGCCTAAATCCAAAACAGGACTGGCTCCAGCTTCACTGAATCCACTGGCAATTTTCATGAGGCTAAACTGACAGCCTGAACAACTTATGACAATGTGGAGTAAACAAAGTTTATTCTGGGCCTGCAGAGGGTGGAGCAGAGCAGAGTGCTGCAGGCTTCCATCTGAACTCCAGCAGGAAGTGCCCAGTTAAACCCACAGGGATGTTGGCTCGTCTTCCTTACAGTCGTGCGTGCGTGCGTGCGTGCGTGCGTGCGTGCGTGCGTGCGTGCGTGCGTGCGTGCGAGTTTCAGAGTGAATACACCATCATCCGCCTGCTGTTTCAGTCCGGGGATGCTTTTCACTCCAGCAGGCTGAGTCGGAGCGTGTGTCTCTCTGTCTGTGCAGCGCTCTGCAGCAGTGCAGTGACATTTGAGGAGGCAGGGGGAGGTTTCAGGGGCAGCGCTGTCGCCCTGCTCTGCCTTCTGTTCCGCTGTACGCTGAGAACGCTGCAGAATGCTGAGGCGTAGTCAAACCTCTGCTGCAGTTACTGTAAAAAAAAAAAAAAAGCTGCGTCTAAATCAAAGTTATCATAGTTAGCTTAAACGAAAGAAATGATGAAAACTGAAAATTGAGAAAACCTTTTATTTAGCTGAAATAAATAAATAAATAATGTTAATTGATGGGGAAAAACAATAAGTATCTGGAACTATGTCTTGCTTATATGAACCATACTGAAATAATAGATAATATATCCTCTGTTTTTTGTATTTATGAATCTATTTATTTCCCCCACACACATAAGCAGTTCACTTCAAATTGTGGCTGTAATAATGTAGGCATATCGTATCATTTAACATTTATTGTGATACATTTCTTCGCACGATAAGAATTTAGATTTATCATTGTCACTATAAATTCCAGTTGAAATGAAAATATGATTCAATACAGTTACTTTGTGCAGTTTAGTGATACAAATCACATTTCTTTATGTGACTGGTGTCCTACAGAAGTGCATCTCAAATGTTCTTGTTTTTCAAGAGCAGCATTTGTGCTGCGGTGCTGTGATTGCTGTTAGTGATACAGTTACCTAATAGTTCTTATCGTCACTTATTGTTATCAAAATAGTACCACAAAAAATCGCGATAAAACCTTAGCTCCATATCGCCGAACCCTTCTGTGATGTGACAATATTCTAGGGACTGAATACTTTTGCTGATACTTCTGCTGTGTTTTATCTCCTCAGCTGACACACACTGAATAATAAATGTGAGTCCAGCAGCCTGCTGAAGACTTCACACTTTCCCTCTGACCGCCTCACCACCTCAGCCTTTAGCTCTGCAAGGTCACCACACCCTGTTAGCATCCTGTCCCAGCCCAGCCGCTGTCTTTCACATTCCTACATGCCTCAGTCCCAGCATCCCCCCACACACACACTGCTCCCTCCAGCCAACCTCAGCCGGGACAGGAAAACCTCGCTCTTCCTCCTCCTCTCTGTCATTCCTCATCCTCCTCTTCCTCAGCAGGAGCCAGACAGAGCTGCATCTTTGCTCCGTCTCCCCTCCACCCACTCTCCGCCCAAATGCCAGGCTTCATCCAGCTGCCCTCCACTGCCACCTGCTGGAAAGTAGTGGTAAAACAGCAATAAAAAAAGGTGTGGGGGGGGGGGTAGTTCGAACTCCTCTGCTCCAGGCTGTGAGAGCTGGTAGGAAGGGACCACCTGCTGTGTGAGGAAGTGAGGCAGAGCCTCAGACGTGTTGATGTTTGGTTGTGTTGTGTGCTGACATCCTTTAGGAAGCAGGCCTGCGACCCTGGAGGGGATGAGGCGTTCGCTGTGTTCGGCTCTCAGCCTGCCTGTGAAGCAAAAACATGTGAGCTGTTTGCTGCTCAGCCGGAGTTGCGCTGGTCCAACTGACAAACACAGAAGTGCTATGATGGCCTGTCCCAGTCTGCAGCCCTGGGGTCTGCAGAGGCTCTGGGTCCATCAGAGGCAGCAGGAGGCTGCTGGTTCACTGCTGCTGCTGTTTTCTGTTTGTGATGCTGCAGAGACGGTTGAAGGGGAAACAACTCCACTCTGCTCCACCTGCTCAGGTCGTCCCATCTCCTGCACTGTCTGGAGAGGAATCAGAGTTTAGCTGTTTCTGAAGTCGACCAGTTTGGGAAAAGTAGAAAAAACTCTTTCATGTCCCATCATCTAACTGGATCCATCTGTCTTTTCTTTTCTGCTTCTATCCTTCTATCCAACTTCCCTCTATCTTACCTTCCTCCCTCTCTCTCTGATGTTCTTCCTTCTTTACTCCTCTTCATTTTTCTTCGTATCCTTCTGTCTTTTATTCCTTGGTTCCTCCTGTTAATGTTTATTGTTTCCTACTTACTTTTATTCTTTGAGATCTTCCTTAGTTCCTTGTATCCTTTCATCTTTATGTCCTCCATCACCATGAATCAGCTCATGCAGCAGTCCATACAACAACAACAAAACAGAAAAGTGTCTCTGAAATAAAACCTTCTATGATGTGACTGTTCCAGATCACGTCAAAGTTTCTCTGGTTTGTCCCGATCGAGCCTGTCATCACCTCTCACACCACGGGTCAAACATGAGAACGAACCCGCTGAATCAGCATACAGTTACAGAGAATATATGGAAAATAATATACAGGAGTAGAGAAAGACAAAGGAACATGATGAGATAGACATATGATCACAGAAAAGAAACTGAGGGATAGAGACTGATTAGCACAAAGTGATCAGCAGCAACAGAAAACCAAAAACAGAAAGACCTGAACCGAAACGCATCGATGAAGTAATAATAATAAAATAAGAAATCAAACTAAATGACAAGTATGGTAAGACTCTAATGACGATAATGAACACAAAACTGAACAGTGTACGGAAAGACCTTAATGTTAATAATGATCGAAAAGGAAACACAAAAACAAAACACAAACAGTCCTGGATAATTTCATATCCACAGTGTAAATATCTGCTTTATCTGCTCTATGTTAGAATTGATGTGTGACTGACATGTCTGGAATGTTGAGTTTGGAGTTATTACTGAGAAGTGGAGGTGGTTTGTGCACTTCAGCTAGGTTCTGGAGAAGAGCCAGCAGTTCTCACTGAGCTCATTGAACACATGTGACCCATCAGGTGGACATTATTCCAGAGACAAGAGAAGCAGCTTATTGTTTAGCTGCTCTGGATGAAGCAAACCTTGTAAATGCTTCTTTTAGAGTCTGACTCGCCCTGACATGGAGACAGAGATGCACATTATTCAAACGTGTCTTCCTCCTTTAGAACTGGAGGAAGTTCTGAGCAACGTGATTGGCATGAAGACCTGTCTGACAGAGACGTGCAGCACAAGGAAGCAGTGTTTTAAAATCTGAGCCGGAGACACTAAAACACAGCCGTGTTCTGGAAAGATGTTCCTCCGCCGGCTGAGACTCCTTCCTGCTTTTACCCTGTTGGTGCAACATCCTGAGAGAGTGTCTGCGCGTCAGTCAGCCGCCTTCACATGGGGTTTTATTTTTATCATCCAGCCCTGTGTCTTCTGCTAAAACATCTATCAGTGTAATAACTTCTGCAGATTTCAGATGATATGTGCGTTATGTTTTGTCTTACGCCAAAAGCAGCTGCAAATGAGACTTCAAGATAAACAGCACCATGTTTTTTTACTTAGAGTTCTCCAGTATAGAGAAAAGACTAATTATTGGCAAATAACGAGGAAGTGGGACTTAAGAACAATACAGGAGAAGGACTGAGAGGATGGAATGTAACGATATAATAATCATTTCTGGCAGAGTTTTGTAAGAAAATCACGCTAGGTCATATGGAAATGTGACTTATCACATGTTGAACCGTTGTTGCTTCATTATGCATTACAAACCGACCAATGACAGTGATGTCTGTGTGTTTTTCAGTGAGGGGGACTGGTGGGACGCGCGCTCGCTGACCACCGGGGGCAGCGGTTACATCCCCAGTAACTACGTGGCTCCAGTAGACTCCATCCAAGCTGAAGAGTAAGTTCTGGTCTTTAATGGTTTTTATTGGAGGCTGTAACAGAACGGAGGAATGGGACTGGTTTGAGTCAGTTAGGGTAGACTGCACTGTGAGCCCACTCAGACAGGTGTTAGATTAGGCTCCACCCACCTTATCAATCTACCAATCAGTGAGTCAGGTTTTATTAGTCTATAACTTTATACAATCAAAGGAAACAAAGTTCTTTTGTAGAAATTGAACCAAGAAACAAGCAGGTTTATATCGCCAAACAGTGAATAACATAAAACCTGAATGAAATGTCAAAAATGATCAGTATAATCATATTAATGAGAAATAATGGAGAGAATAAACTCACATTTAAACTGCTTTAGTTATTATTGCCTCTTAAGACACATAAATAAATGTTTTCTCTATTCTGATCTAATTAAAAACGCAACAGCATAAACCAAAGAGAAACTAAAGTAAATCAAATAAAGTTTGACTACAGCATGCAGCACTGGGTGTAACCACTGATTAATACAGTTTCTAAACAAACAAAAAAAACTAATTATCCAACTTACTCTAACACTCTTTAAAGTAAAGATCACACATTTTTCTTGCATTTTGGAAAACACGTTAGGGAATAACTTTTTTTTAGACAACAAACTTCTGGGACTTTATTTCTTACAGCTTTAAACTGTGTTTTAACTCATGTTACCAACACAGGACTGAATGAATTAAGGAAAAGTTATCCAGACTGTTTGAGCTGACTGCTTTCTTTCAGCTGGTACTTTGGTAAACTGGGCCGCAAGGACGCAGAGAGACAGCTGCTGTCCACTGGCAATCCTCGGGGCACCTATCTGATCCGAGAGAGCGAAACCACAAAGGGTAAAGCAAGCACATGCACACACACACACACACGCATGCACATGCACACACACACACACACACACACACACACACACACACACTGAGCCTCTCCTCCCTTCTAACCCCCGCTGTGTGTCCCCCAGGGGCCTTCTCCCTGTCCATACGGGACTGGGATGATGTGAAAGGAGATCACGTCAAGCACTATAAGATTCGTAAGCTGGACAGTGGAGGATATTACATCACCACCAGGGCTCAGTTTGACACGCTGCAGCAGCTGGTTCAGCACTACTCGGGTAAAACGAAGAGCATTTTTTCCATGTTTACAGTTTATTAGGAAAATGTTCAGTTTACAGTAAATGTTCAGCGCAGTACGACACGTTAAGACCTGGAGATTAAAACTTTCTCTAATCGGGTTTTTAGTAATAGAACCAGTAATAGTTCCACTGGTTATTTTCAAGCACTGAATAAATAAACTCAATAACACTTTATTTGACAGAGTGTTTATGACACTGTCATGAACCTGAAGGAGTCTTTATCAATGTCTGACTGTTGTCATGAAGTGTCATTCGGTAAATAATGACACTTGTAATGCAAAATTGCTCTAAAGGTTGCATTTAAACTCCATTAGAAGTACCGACTTTGTGTTATTTTGTAAATAATGACACTTTAATGCCAAGTTAGCACTTTTAATGGACTTTCAATGCAACCTTTAGAGCAACTTTCCATTAAGTTGTTTTTTACTATTTGCAGTACTTCCCCCCTTTTCTCCTGTGATTCCAGCATTTTGTTGATTGAATTTTTTTACTTCTATTTTCTGTTATTGTCACATATTTTTTTGTGCTTGCAGCGTTTATCTGTTGCATCTGTTTTTTGTGTTTGGGTGTTCTGGAGTTGGCATCATACATGTGTCTGCAGCTCGTTTGGACCTGTGAGCCATCATAAAGTAACCCAGATTATTGCTGTTAATTTTTGACTGTAACTTTACAAACGGCTCCATGTCAGCTTCTTCTTCTTCTTTGACTATATTCACTGTAATTTGCAACGCGGCAGACTATATAGGTTCTCCAGTTCCATCGCTGTGAGCTGCTCAGAGATGGAGTATTAGATCCTCACAGCGACGGACCTTCACTGCTTTAGTCTTCATTCATCCTCTAACTTTTCACTCCGCTCCGTTCCTATATGTGCATACAGCTGGAGTCACTGTGGTGACTGTATGTCTTACTGTCTCCCGTCCCACCCACTGGCTCCCCCTCATGGGGAAAAGGGAGATTCTTTGACACGCTCTAGTTGGCACATTGGCTCATCGACCTGCATGGTCAACAACATGGATTCTCTAACCATCCTTCTGCCTCGTATCGACTCTGGGTGACGTCTGGATCCACATCAGACCTCAACTCTTTTCAGGGCTTCTGCTTGTTTGGCATCTTGCTGTTTATTGGCTTTTCTTCTGTGACAATCATATACAGACACCGTTCTTTAAAGCTCTCAGAAGCAACGACATACTTGTTGTTTGGCCTATGTAGAAAAAATGAAAGTAAATAAAACCAAATGCTAAGGTGGAAAACTGTCAGGCTTGGCATGTTTCAGACATTTCCTGTGATTTAGGATCAGAACTGTGCCTACAGCAGATCTGATGGAAGAACGGTTTATTTTTGGTGTGCAGCAGATGTTTTTAGTGTAGAACTATGGGTAGTTTTTTTTATTTGCAGCTCCACTCAGATTCTGATCAAAATGACTTAAAACAATCAGCTTGTTTTTATTTTATTTCTTTTCTTTCATTACTTTTAAAATTCCATGATTCCTTTGAACTTTTTCCTACCTAAACATTGTGTTGAGTGATTTTTGTTTTTTCAGAGCAGTTATCAGAGTTCAGAGCTAATCTCAGATTGATCTCTCCCTGGGCTCTGTTTTCACACTCGCTGCGTAGCAACCCGCCTCACATTGATGGGTTTTATGAGCGGAGTGAACGCAGTGGCGTATTGATGTATCGATCACTGCGTGGAGCTGAGGTGGCCCAGATGGGCTTTGATGGTCCGGTCCGCAGCATTAATCCTCCCACAGGAGACATCCAGCCCTTTATCTTGTCTTTACTGCTGTGTGCAAACACCTGAGGGCCTTATTATGAGTGGGGGGCCGGTGGGGTGTCCTCCTCTACATATCAGTATGAAGGGACTGGCGGAAACTCTGCTCCAATCCACTGTTTTAATCAATGCTCAGCAAACAGCAGAGCTTTGTGGTGTTTTGGTTCCATGATCAGGGCGGCGTCCAGGTGTCGTCAGCTGATGTGAGGTCAGTGGGATGGAAACAGCTGCTAATGCTTCATGTTTGACCCAGACCAGGACGCAGTGTTCCACTGGCACCAAGAGCAGGACATACCATAAAATGTATATGAGGCTGAGAGCCGATATGAGAGAGGAAAACGCTACATGAGCAGAATGTTTAAAGTTGAAACATTGAAAAATGTCAGATTAAATGCATTCTCAGGGATTAAATTAAATGATTAAACAACCTGAGTTAATTTTAAAAAATCATGTTTGATACATTCAGCTTTTTTATAACAACTAAAGGTATCATAGTTACTAGGCCTGTCGCAATAAACAATAAATCAACTAATCACATGATAAATTAAGAAAAATTAATACAATTAAATTGCAAGCTCAATAATTTCTATTTGCATAATTTAACGTTTTTCTCTTTCTACTAAAATCTGGATGATGAAGTAAACACCGGAACACATTAACAGTTCCAGTGTTAAATGTTAGATGCTCATTGCAATTTAATGTTTATTGATCTTTGAGAATGTGTCTTGCATTATTTTGCCATAAAAATTTAATAACTTGAAAATGCACTGAAAACAACAATATTATCATTTATTGCAATAATTTCTGGGATAATTTATCATCCAGCAAAATTTGTTATCCTGACAGGCCTAATAGTTACTTGATTATGATATAAAATGACACTGTGTGCCTGGAAAATACATAATAATACTGATAATAATTTAGGGTCTCTTAGTTCATGTCGTGAAGGGAAGCCAAGAAAGACACACACTTCATGAAGTTGGATTCCTGATGAATCTAACTCTAAAAGCCTCATGAAAACACCCTAGTCAAAGTCTGGAGTTAAACCCAATAAGAACTGTTCTGTAAAGCAGCTTATTTAAACCAGTCCAGTGTAAAGCTCTGGTTGTCGGGTAACGCTTGGTGGCTGGTGTTGGGTTTATTGGGCTGCTAAGTTTTCACATAGAACCAGGTTGGTTTGGAAAGACTTCCTTCCTGAAATCTCTTTTTTGTGTTTCCTCAGATCATCTCTGTCTAATATTGATATTAGTTTGGTGATCTGAACTGATCCACAGCTTCTCCTCCTTCTGCTCCTGTAGAATTGTGAAATAAATTCTTCTTCTTGGTTCATCTTTGTCCTGTTTGTTTCTCTGACCTGGATATTTTTTCCCATGTTCCTTCAATAGAAACCTTTTTCTTTCCCTCCTGCTGTGTTTTTTCCCCCCTCTGCCTCCATGTCTTCTGTATCCTCTGTCCTCTCCGCCCAGCCGGACTCTTTGCTAACTCTCTGCACATGTCTCCCTCTGCTCCTCTTTGCTGCTGCGTGGCCTTGCAGACCGCGCTGCAGGCCTCTGCTGTCGCTTGGTGGTTCCCTGCCACAAGGGGATGCCCCGCCTCGCCGACCTGTCAGTGAAAACCAAAGATGTGTGGGAGATCCCACGGGAGTCGCTGCAGCTCATCAAGCGCCTGGGGAACGGGCAGTTTGGGGAGGTTTGGATGGGTACGGACCCAGCCGTCTCTGGAGGTCACATTGGGGGGGAATGGGGATGGGAACAGAGACTCCAGACACACCTTGAAATCCAAACAGGAGAATAATGAATAATGCGGAAGCTGAGAGAATCATAAGCAAAGATTCTAAATCACAAAAACACAGATTGTGTCAGGAGGCTCTGCTTCCCCAACCAACATGGCCTCCCTCCGTGTGCGCCTCTGTGCATGCTCCTCTCCCCGTAGTTAACCCTTGTGCCTTGACCCCCCCCCCCCCCCCCCCCCCCCCCCCCAACCATGTAGAGGGTGCGGATGGTTTGTGCTTTAATTTAACGGGCGTGTGCATGAACTACATCCCCGACACTGTGGGCTTGAGCCACGATGCCTGGGAGATCAGCAGAGACGCCCTGAACCTGGAGGAGCAGCTGGGGACGGGATGCTTTGCTGAAGTGTTCTACGGTAAGAAAATCAGAAAAAAATCCAAATAAAACCTGAGCTTCCCTTTTTCACATGTTCCTCAGGAGACAGCGGCTCTCAGGTGTTCTGGAATATTCCTTACAGAGTTTCAGCTCCTTGATTCAACCAGCAAATCTGTTCCTCAACGTCTACACATCCAGATATGAGCACCACTGCTTTCTTTCTCCTTTTGGGGGGAGCCAATTATATCTATTATATGTGATTCGTCAATACAAAACAAGACACCCCTCTCTCACACACACATGCACACACACCCTCTAGAATCACCTTTTACTTCAATCCCAGCTGCAAGTCTTTAGTCTCCTAAAGACTAAGACTTTTTTTTCACCATTTTTCTTGACCAAACTATTGTAACTAAGTAACACACATTGAAGTTGGTCGTTGTGTCAATCAAAATGCAAAAAATGTTCAAGGGGTGTGAATAGTTTTTCAGGGACTGCAGATGTTTGAATGTCGACATTCCCAGCAGGACAGGCGGTGAGCTGTTGATCAGCAGGAGGCCTCCACCCAGCTGCTCCGCTGACAGCAGCTATCTGTGATTACTGAATAAATCCCTCCAACTCATTCCAAACTCAGTTAGTTAGTTCATGCCATACTAACATCCCCTCTCCAGTGTGTATCTTTGACTCAGAGTGAGATCAGAGGAGGGAGTGTGAGAGTTCCAGACAGCAGGGTTCCTGCAGTCTGGAACAAATCTGTTTTTCTGTTTCATTCTTAGACTAAATTAAATGAAAAGTAAATTTAATTATGGATTTTAAGCAAAAAGAGAATTTTTCAAATTCATGACGATGTTTTTATTAGTTGACTGAAATGTTCAGGTTCACATAGTGGCATGTTTGTAATGCATGACTGTGGATTGGGTCATCAACATGAAAACGGTTCAAAACCCATCTGAGAATCAGGCTGCAGTCACTCAGCAGGAAAATGTCACCCAAACCTGTGATTGTTTTTTTTGTTTGTTTTTTTGCCCCTATAAAAGCCTGATCCGACTTTTTCATGGTAATCTGAACGGCACAATTCTCAAAAAAATCTGATCTGTCCCACTTTCATACGTGGAACTAATTCCGTTAGTCAGAATGATCAAGTCACAGCCTGTCATTGATTGAGACATGCATCATAATTTTACACCAGAAGAAGACAGGTGCAGGAAATCTGGACGTAAACGAAGAATAAAAATTCTAATTATGGAAGCTCTGAACTGATATCATCACATCACAATCCCAACACTCCTTCTAGATAAACATCTAAACATATCTTTACAGAAGTTACTGTTAGTTGTGATTTATTTTTGTTAGCTTCTTGTGATGATGCAGTCGGCAGGTCGTAAACCGTTCACACAGAACCTCATTACGGTCACATCATTCAGAAACATGAACAACCAAGCGAAAAAAAAAAAAAAAAAGGAATAAAACATTGAACTTCATCATAAAATAATAACTGAGCATTAAGACCTGCTGAGTGAGAATATCTGTAAACATTTGGATCTGGAAAGTTTGGAATGATGATTTGGAAACTACGTAGGAACCCCATCTCAAAGTAAAGGTTCAGTTCACTGTGTTTATGTCGTCAGAAAGCAACTTAAATCACATCATCTCCGATCTCACTCTGTATTGCATGACATTTCAAAGAAAGCCCTCCCGACTCCCCCCCTGTGCATGCCTGCCTCCCGTCGACTCCCTGTGTACCTGACGCAGTGTGAATGGCAGCAGATGCTCCTGCTGTGCTGACACCGGCGTGTGTGTGTGTGTGTGTGTGTGTGTGTGTGTGTGTGTGTGTATATGCGTGTGCATGTGAGCAGGAACGTGGAACGGCACCACCAAAGTGGCGGTGAAGACGCTGAAGCCCGGCACCATGTCCCCCGAGTCGTTCCTGGAGGAGGCTCAGATCATGAAGAAACTCCGCCACGACAAGCTGGTGCAGCTGTACGCCGTGGTGTCTGAGGAGCCCATCTACATCGTTACAGAGTACATGAGCAAAGGTACCGCCACATGGAAAAGCCTGGTCGTCATGGAGATGCGCTGGGGAGGATCATGTGGTTTTCAAGAGTAGATATCAGTTAAATTTCAGGTTTTCTATAAGATCTGCTTTTCACAGATGAAATAATGAATGTTCCACTTTTTAATTGATCCGGATGTTCATACTTTTTATTCCATCTGTAGATTAATCAATCTCTTCATGTATATCGATGAATATAACTGAAGAGCAAGAGGCACCAATCATAAACATCAGTTCTGTTAACGCTAAACCGCTACACTAACACAGGGCTAACTGATTCTAAAGCGCTAACTTCAATTTAAATTATACCTGTCCTTGAAAGACCACGGTCCTTGAGCATCAAGTATTGATGTTCAATAATGTAGTTATTGTATTTATGTTTAGAATTTGTTCTCTGCTGTTCGTGTTTTATTTTGTTCGGGTCTGTTTTTTTTTTAAATAAAATCATTGGAGAAAAAGAGTCAGAACATGAGGAGAGGAAACAGAACTGCTGCTGTCTTCACCCTCTTCAAAATAAGAGCATGTATATAAACGTTTAACTACTTGAATATTCAATAACCAAAACTTCGACAAAGCTGTCGAACTTTTTTCAATCCAAGGTTTGTTAAGCAGCTAAGCAAATTGGTGCATTGGAATTTTAGAAAATTGATTTCGAGGTGCTGAAAATTTCCAAGGTCAGCAAAAGTCCTGAACAAAACATTAGCTCTGCTTTTATTTAAGTATGTTCACCACTGATCGGCACAGTGTAGAGTACTGCTGCGCTGCATAACTATGGAGCCGCCTCAGTTAAGTAGCTTTCTCATGTGCAGTTCACCAGAAAATAGAACTATTATAAAAGGAAATGGACAGATGTCACATTAATTTTTTATCATTAATGCTTGAGGGCATGTTCTGGAGCAAACAGAAGGAACTTCTGTCTTTGTTAAAATCTTCCAAAAACTCAGTAAGTTGCTTAATGACTTTAAACTTGACTGAATAAAGCAAGAATTGGGACATTGCATTCTTTTAGACCCTTTATAAAATCCAAACATAAGTTTGGATCTAAAAGGATTTTCAGATCCCTTTTCCTACACAATATCAAACTGCTTTGCAGTTTCTTGTTGAACAGGTGAAAAAGCAACTTTCCATGTCACATTTTCGGCCCTCATTGCTGAAGATGTGGACCCCACTGGTCTGACCTTCACCCAGACCTGCAGCCTGACACTCCAGCCCAGTAGAAAGTCCAGGACAGTGACCCACTGGAGTCTCTGTGAAGTCTGTTTCATTTAGTCTGAGCTGCTTCTGTTCCTCTGCGGAGCAGCAGCCGCTCTGGTCTGGTGAAACGGACTGCAGATCGTTACGACCATCAAAGCCAAGGATCCAAGCAGTAATTCAGAGAGAGAACGCAGAGCGAGCTGAGGACGTGCACGAAGGGAAGCTTTGATGTGCATCATCACCGCATCTGATCAGCATCCATCTCTGCACCCTGAAATGCTCCAGTGTCTTTTTAAAACAAGCTGAAGCTCTGTGAACTTTGAGTCTTTGTGAAGCCACCGGTCCTGTTTGTCCCTCGGAGCCGTCGCTGCTTTTGATGACCTGAAGCAGACAGTCCCAACCCACAGACTCAGTCTGTCAGATTTGTTAGATGCAGTGTGTGGAGGCTGAACAGCAGGTTTGGGTTAAGGTTGCAGGGAAAGGGAAACCGTTTTCAGCTGCATGTGTTTGTGTGCTGCAGGCAGCCTGCTGGACTTCTTAAAGGACGGAGAGGGACGAGCGCTGAAGCTGCCCAACCTGGTGGACATGGCAGCACAGGTGTGTATCGGCCTCAACGCTCATATTTCTACATGTACTTTTAAGCATAAAATCAGTGGTGGTTTCTGATATGAACCACATGGGCAACCACTCAGGGCGGCATTTTATGATTTTGTGGGGGAGGGGGTGGGGGGCAACATGAGTGCTCTGCCCACCCCCTGGTTCTTACAACACCATCACACCAACCAACCTCTGTGACAGGGTTAGAAATGCTCTTCATTCTGTCTGAGCCTAAGAAAAATATGGCACAGAACAGTTTGAGTGTCTACTTTGAGTTGATCTTACAGAAAACTTTTGCACATCTGTTTTTTGTTTGTTGTGTTTTTGAGTAAAATTTTTCAGAGTCCTTTGTTTGGACAGTTTTGAAGCAGATTTTACTCCTCATCATCACCATGTCATAAAATGTCCCATGTGAAACACACAGTTACTGTTTCTTTCATTTTTCCTTTTGTCCTGAATCGCTCAGTGTGGCAGCTTTTAAAGCTCCAACTGCAGAATCAAACTCATGCAGATAACCCTGTTGCTTTAGCACCTCTTTCCAACACACTTTTTTTCCTTTTACTCAACTTGCCAATGCATTTTCCCCCTCTGTTCTTCAGGTGGCAGCAGGCATGGCCTACATCGAGAGGATGAACTACATCCACAGAGACCTGCGCTCGGCTAACATCCTGGTGGGAGACAACCTGGTGTGTAAGATCGCCGACTTCGGTCTGGCCCGGCTAATCGAGGACAACGAGTACACGGCCCGGCAAGGTTGGGCTCCCTCCCTCCCCGCACCGCTCACACTTTCACACACACTACAGCAGCCTGACTGTGTGCAGGAAATCTACTTGGAGAGATAAACACACAGCACACCCACTGCAGGTCTCAGTAGTTCCTCACAGCTCCACAGAACCAGAACCTCCTCCTTACCTCAGATCAGAAGGCCGTTCGCCTGCTGATTGGGGAGTGAACATATTTTACAAGCCTTTTAGTAGGATGAGCTTTTTTAGCTTTAGTCATCAGGTCTTTCTCCTGACCGCTGTTAAAATAAGGGAGAAAAACAAGCAGTGGTAAAAACAGAGAGGTTTACAGCTGCCAGCATAAAGTACATCCAGTCCTGCCTCTGGAAACGCAACCTAAAACAGATGAAGTCATTTTACTGAACACATGTTCTTCATCCTGAAGACTCCCACCTACAACACAACTGACATTCAGCCCACATGTTGGACATGTCCACAGATAGAAGCAACTGAAATTTAAAGGGGCAGTATTCTGCAAAAGCTACTTTTTTTTTTGCTTTACATCATGTCATCATGTTTTTCCCTCATCAAAATCATACCAGGAGTGTTGCTTGATCCTTTAATGCATGTTTCAGGAATCCTTCAATCTCCATGGCAACAATTCAGCTCTGCAAACACCTAGTTTAACCCAGCGCTGCCTTTGAGAACGAGCCTCCTTCTCAGAGCTGCAGTTTCCAAGCCTCTGGGCTTCTGCTTCACAGAGCAGCTCTTCTTCCTCTCAGCTCCTTCAGACTAGCCAGTAGCGATTAGCAAACACCTGGTGGAACTGTTGAGCTACTTTTCAGTGCAGTGCTCGTAAAAAGATTGTTAAAGGGTTAGTAGAGGAGCCATGTTGTGATAACTTCTTGAAGGCAGAGTAGCAGGAACAGCAGGAGTTTTTAAAGGGACAGAAACCCAATTTCAAGGCAAAGGCAAATTTCTTTTTAGTCGTATTTGATATATAGAAGTTTAACATAGTTACTTTATTCTGTTATAAAATGTCACTATGTACCTAGGAAATACAGAATTCCGCCTCTTTAAGAAATCTATTTTTTCAGTCTGACCTCAAGTGTGCAAAAACACACAGCAGACGTCACGCCTTCATTGTTGATCAGAAATAGTTCAGGGATTGATGAACATGATGCAGCAGCTTGTAGAATCAGGCTGAGCTTCAGTCTGTCAGTGAGCTCTCTCCTTCTGTCTGCTCTTTATATGCCTTTCATCCTCTTTAAAGTTCTTTCCACCTCTGCTGCTCTGCCTTGTAATTATGCATTCCACTGAACTTTTACTCATGTCCTCTTGTTACCTTCACAGGCTTCAGTATGATGGATAAAAACAAAGTAGAGCATTAGCTTAGATTTTTTTGTTTTGTTTTGTTTTTAAAATGTTTTTACAGATAAAAATCTGAAAAGTGTGGCTTACTTTTGTGTTCAGTCAGTAGAACCAACGTCTACTAGCAGAACAGCTGCAGGTCTTTGGGAAGCTTTTCATGTTTTACCACCTGATTTTACGTCTAGTGCCAGGTCCACATGCTCACAGCTTAATTTGTCTCTCTAAGTTTCACTGAGATATGAGTCTTTTTTTTTCTGCATTGCCCTGACAACCTGTCTGAATCCTGTGACATAGATTGCTGTAAAAGACTCTCGAGTTGCTTAGATCCTCTAACAGCTCTAACTGCAGCTTCCCCTCAGCAAGATGCTGCCACCGTTATGCTGTGCTGTGGAGACGGTGCGTTCAGGGAACTCGGTCTCCTGCAGACAGGACTTCTCCTGGTTTTGCTTCAGTAATGACTTTCTTACTTCCCTATAGGTCAGATTTGTGGAGTTCTCCAGCAATAATTGTGTCAAAGTTAGTCTCAGCTGCTCGTATCAGAGCATGTTGGTTGAAGGGATGGAAGATGATTCTGTGTAAAAACGATAGATTTACTTTTAATGTTGAATTTTATCTGACCTGCTGGGTTTTTGTTTTGTTTTCAGGAGCAAAGTTTCCCATCAAGTGGACGGCCCCGGAGGCGGCACTGTACGGCCGCTTCACCATCAAGTCAGACGTTTGGTCGTTCGGCATCCTGCTGACGGAGCTGGTGACAAAGGGCCGCGTGCCGTACCCAGGTGAGAGCCCTCAGCCCGCCGCGCCGCCTTCACTGATCCGTGGTGATGAAGGACAAGCCTGTCCTGTTCAGAACACAGAGCTGTTACTAAAGCACACACTGATCCCTCTGGCCCTTCCTGCTCTTTATGAGAGTAAAAGCTTCCTTTCAGCCTGGCTAACCTTTGTCTCACTGCCAGAAGAAGACGGGGAAATAACAGCTAATTGCCGCCACTGGCCTCTGGGACGGTCTCATGTCCAACAGAGAGGAGGAGATGGCACAGTCTGTCCTGAGGTTGGCTGAGTGTCAATCAAGTTGGGAGGTGGAAGGATGGTCTGGATAATGTTGTCTGACTGACTGTTCCACAGGCTGAGGTGATGAAGGTTAGCACACACAGCTACTGGCTCATTAAGAAGCTCTGATGATCCGTGATGAAACATCCAGCCATCATTCAGTAGAACCTGACTCCCTCCAGATCCGGTTCTACTGGGAGCACTCAGAGTTCTTCATGTTCCTGCAACTCAATTGTTATCGTTTCCAGTCGGAAAAACCAGAACAATCTAAATCTAAACACAGATGGTTCCCTATGGGGGACCCAGAGGGGGCCATGGCTCCCCCTCACACAGGACATAAATGTAAAGTCCAATCAATAAAACATATTGATTATTGTTGGTTGGTTTGGGGTTCCTCCCTAATTCTTTTCTGTCCTGGTTCGGCCACGCCTGTGATAAAATGGAGAGAACAGCGTTGCTATCGACTGGTATGCTAACGGTAGTTAGCACCACAACAATTGGCACATCAGCTCAGACATGGCGCCATTTATAGATCTTCCCAGGCAAATCAAAGCCATGCCACTCAGATTGATTAATGATGACTGTCCCTTTAAATGAGAACATTCTTAATAATTAGCTACAGGTGTGTTGTGTTGCTCCTTGATGTGCCCTGCTCTGGACCTTCAGTGAAAATAGAATTTATTATTGATTTTCCATTGGCTGTTCTAATTCCACTGACTGAACAAAATCAAGTTGTTTTTACATGTTTGACCAAACTGGTGAAGCTGTTGGTGTATGTCAGTGTGCTGTGCTGGTGCAGTTATCAAATAAATGTAATTTAGTACATTTATGTCTGTTTAAAAACAGAAACATTTTCAGTCAGTTCAGCTGTTTTTCTGTATCAGATCGGTATTGGCCAATACTAAACCTCAGATATCTGTATCGGTATCGGAAGTGAAAAAGTGGATCAGTTCATCTCTAGTTTGCAGAGGAACGCTGAGTTCTGCAACACCACAGATTCATATTCCCTCATGTCTTTCTATCGTATTTCTCCTCTAAAATCTGATCTGCAGGATTCAGTGAGTGTCTGTGTGTTTTACTGCTGACTGGGTGTTTGCTCACTCAGTCGGGTCACCCAGGAGACCTGATAACGGCCCGTTTTAACGGCCTTAACGTGTCTGTTGTGGCTCAGGAGCCTGTGTCTGGCCTCACTCTGCTCTCGTTTGGTTCCCCAGGCATGAACAACCGTGAGGTTCTGGAGCAGGTGGAGCGGGGCTACCGGATGCCGTGCCCCCAGGACTGCCCCAGCTCGCTGCACGAGCTCATGCTGCAGTGCTGGAAGAAGGACGCCGAGGAGAGGCCCACCTTCGAGTACCTGCAGGCCTTCTTGGAGGACTACTTCACAGCCACCGAGCCTCAGTACCAGCCTGGGGATAACCTCTAAACACCCGCCGCCCTCCATCCCCAAAAAAACCTACCCGCTGTCCCCATGTCCTCCCCCTCCGACCCTGCAGCCCTTCAGGGCTCAGGTGGAACTGCTGCTGGGGGCGGGGCTGACCCCAGAAGTGCTGTATTTAAATAAGAAAACCCAACAGACTGTGGAGCAGCCAGGCTTCTAGTTCCAGGGATCTGTTCAGCTTCCTCAGCTCAACTCGAGCCTCTCAGATTTTCCTTCCTGCAAAAAAAGAATAAAAACCCGACTCTGACTCCCTGGGTGTCCTAACCCAGCAGATGAAGGCTCACAAACTGAACCCGGATGGGGGGGTGAGGCGGTTGGGTAGAGGGGAGCGCTCATGCAAAGAAATAACCTGTATTCTCTGTAAATAAGAAAAGCTTGTTTTAGTTTGTCTGCCTCTGTTCCAGATTTTATTTTCTCCTGCACAAAAATAATAATGAAAAGACAAACAGCAGGGAGAGGAGCGCCGAGCAGCGCATGGATCAGGCAGAAGCTCCAGTGTTATTTTTTAAGATTAAATCTGATGCCTCATTCTATTTTTTTTTTTTCCTGGAAAAAAAATCCTCCCGTAAATCATGACTTCATTACAGAAGAGGATTTAGGGCCACTGAAAAGAAAAATAATTCTGACTATTTTTAGATTAAAGTGGAAATTCTGAGGAAAAAAGTCAGAATTTTGAGGTTAAAATCATATTTTTTTTTTTTTTTTCCCCGAGTGGGCCAAATCTTTGTGCTTCATCTATTTGTATTTAAAAAAATTTCTGTTGTTTTATACGAGCTTCTATAAGAAGCTCTGTGCGCTCCTTAACGAGGATTATGTTTCTACCAATCATGCTCCTTCCTCGCAGCTCGGCCACACTGCTTCTTCTCTTTCTTGCTCATTTAAGTGTTTTTTTTTTCTTCTTCTTTTGGTGCAGCTTGGAGAGAGTTCCCATCTTCTCCAGCTGCTGAGCCCAGACCAGTTCAACTGCTGAGTTGCTTCTTTCTGCTCTCCTCGTATAATTCAGCTCCGTTCAAGTCTTTGTTCCAGGTGGTTCTTTAAAGATGTGGTTGTAATGTTGAGTCAGGAAAACTCGGGGACCAATTCAGGTAACGTGTGAAGAAGTCTGAATGTGGAGCCAGTAGAAATGAGGATTCAGCCCAGAGTCGCTGAATAGTCCTCTCTTTTTGTCTTCAGTTGTACAGCTGAATGATTTGTAAGTGTGGCTAACCTCACTCCTTTGTATCTGACATTTCCATTTTTTAACATTTCTTGTTTTATTAATTAAGTGATTTATTTTTCTTTTCTTTTTTTTGGCGTTTGGAATTCAGAAAAGACAAATAAACATTTTACACTCTTTCTGAGACTCATTTCTGACTGGAATTGCAATTGAAACATCTGTACACATACTGAATAAAAACGAAACAATTTCAGATGAAATTTGACTAAACTTTCTCGAATTTATTTTAGTAAGGATAGCTAAAATAATTTGGCTTTGCTAAATGACCAGACAGAGAATAACTTCAGAGAATCTTAAACTTTCTTTAGATTAAAAACTGACATTCTTTTCTAATCAGTCTGCAGTCATTTCCCCTCACACACAGTTTCCCTTCCCTCAAATGACTCCATATTCCTCCCGGTGGACTGTAAAATTTGGGAGAAAACAGCCGTTCAATAATAACTAAATACATTTTTTGAACATGCTATCTTTGTTGATTATTCATTACCCAATTATTGTATACATAATCACAGTGTAATACTTTAACCTTTTCTAATTCTGCAGCTAAAGTTTAACCTATGTATGATGAAACTAAAACTACTATAACTATGAAAAACTAAACAATATTCAATAACTAATAAAAACTAGATAATTAGACAAACAAAAAGTCAATGAAATAAAACTAAACCATAATAAAATCCCCCAAATTATTCTAACCCTGAACCCAAACCTCAAACACCCTGCAATCACAGCAATTAATCATAATCTAAACTAATAATCACAGAATCTTTAAAGGAACTTTACTGTATTTTTTAATTAGTAAATTAAAATCCTTCATTTAAAAGATAAGTGTCGTCAAGCATTCAGGCCAGCAGGCATTTTAACACTTTAAGGGTCATAAGACTGTTCATGCAATGGTTTGAGAACACCATTCCTGTGGAATAACAGCCTGCTCTCACTTATCTACAAGCACCATGAGGATATTTTCCATGTGTGTGAAAGGTCAGAATGTGCTAAGTGACAACTTTGGCAACATTGTCACCCGGGTACTGTTGCAGAACTCCTTGGGTTTGGCTTTTTACCAATTTTTTTATTGTCAAAATAAATTACAAGTTATTTGAAAATGTTATTGATGATTTAGCATAAATCTTAAATCTTTAAATAAAATATATAATTATTATTATTATAAATACTTAAAACGCTACAAACAAGGACGTTGCCATGATTATTGCTTCATGTGGTGGCAGACTTCCGGGTATTTATACTAATTTATATATGTATTTATGGATGGCGACAGGGCGGACCAGCAGCTGCACTCTATTTCCCCCAAATTAGGATTTATAAAGGAATGGTGCGTGCGCACAGCTTTATGCATCCAATTTTTTTTGTGCACCGCACATTTCTAAATTTTTCCATACTCCAAGTTTTACTTTGAAAACTGCGCAGACTTTTATGCATGAGCCCTCAGATTATTATGATTCACAACTTTCGCTGATATAGTTTTCAGCCAAGTCAGAAGTGACCAGGATGAGAATCAAGGACCGTGGTCTTGAGCCACAAAAGCGTAGAACGCCTTTTTTTAGTTTCTGGAAGAAGTCCTACCCCAAGTGGGGGAGTTTATGTATGTCTGGGTCTTGTTCAGAAATTATGGAAAACATAGAGCTGTAGATAGGCAGGCGGATTGTTGCTCTGAGTGCTGTATCGGTCTGTGGTGGTGAAGAGAGAGCTTAGTCAAAAAGTGAATCTCTCCATTTACTGGTCGATCTGTTTTCTACCCTCATCTATGGTTACGAGCTCTGGGCTCTCCCTTAGAGTTAGGATGAGAAGCTCAGTCAGCAGGATGAACAGGAGTAGAGCTTCTGCTTCTCCACACCGGGAGGAGCCAGTTGAGGTGGCTCAGGCATCTCGTTAGCCTGCTTCATGGACACCTCCCTGGTGAGGTGTTTAAGGTACATCCCACCTGGAGGAGACCCAGAGCAAGACCCAGATGGCCCGGGAACGCCCTGGGATTCCCCTGGAGGAGCTGGCCCAAAGGTATGGGAGAGTCTGGGTCCCTCAGCTTAGACTGCTGCCCCCGCAACCCGACCCCAGATAAGCTGAAGGTAATGGATGGATGGTTTCAATAGGGCTATAAATATCAAAATTTTTTTTTTTTTGCCAATATCATCTTTTGACAAGAAAAAGCTAGTGTTTTTTTTTTTTCCAAAATCATTTTTGATTAAAAAAAAAAAAAAAACTTAGGCTGTTATTTTATTTTAAGAAGGTGACAATATTTCCTTATATATCCTGGGAAAAATATGGCTAGCTCACCAGAATCTCTGGATCCACCAGACTCACAGGATCAAATAAAACCTCCACCATAAACACATGGCTCACTCTACCATTCTCTCTTTTCTTCCAACAGTCATTAGCATCAGTTGAGGATCGGTTTGGGGACATTCTCCTCCTTTCACCTATAAAGAGAATGAATCCCTCCTTCTTCAGTCTGTTAGATCCCTCCTTCTGTTTAGCAAAGCCTCGTCCATATGGAGCTGTAATCAGCCTGTATCTGTGTACAAGACTGTTTTATGGCAGGAGCATAGCTAGACGGAGCACCGCCTGAGATCCAACAGGTTTGACTGATTTAAAACAATTAGAGATTAAAAAGTAGGAATGTTGTTTTTGGTTGATCAGCCAGCTTTGGTTAAGGTGACTTAGAAGTAAGGTGGAAGCTGACAACAATGGTGTTATTTGACTATTTTTCTATTGTTCTTGTGTAACAAAGCCAGACGATCAAATTCCCAGGTAGAGCAACCAAAAGTCTCTGCTAAGGGAATTTACTCCACTGCTTCCTCCTCATTAATCATTGACAGATGAAATTAACAGCAGAAAATCAACATATTTACAAAACTACTTTTGAGTCATCAGCTAAATATTGTCTTTCAGTTCATAAGACTATATAGTGTCTTAAATTACAGCTCAGTAAGAGGCTGTGTTTATGTTTATAAATTTAGTATTTAAAATTGTCAGTAATAGGTCTGTATGTAGTTAATGTATTCTTACTGGCTTTACTGCAGGTGTTACATGTACGAAGTGGATGAATCATGGAGGGAGCCAGCGTCTCTGTGTTTGTCACCGTGCAGAAAATCTACTACCCGTTGCTTTGCATCATGGGTATTCCAGGTTTGTCATCATTTATGAAAGCCTATAGATTTATTACACACAGAGCGGTGTGTTTCAAATGTTTACTTCTCTTTAATCTGATGATCATAGCTTATAGTTAATAAAACTCAAATTTCAGTTCCACTGAAAATGTGATTATTCCATAATGATTTAAGTAGTCTTGTAAGAAAAGTAATACATCGTATTAAGCAGAAGAATAATTCAAATGGGGAATAAATATAATGTCTTGCCATTGACTTACATGTCAATGCTAATTGTGTCATGACGGCCCCTTAACTGGTATACTGATTGTTAAGGGACCTATAGTTACACTGAGTTTTAACAGTGACAATTAAGTTTTTTTTAGGTAGTGTTCTATTTTATTATTTTATTATTTGTTCTTTGAAATTTGGGGATTTTCATTAACTGTGAGTTATGATCAGCTAAATAAAACATTTTTACAAAATAAATGCTTGAAATATATGAATACTGCCAGCTTATAGTTTACATTAGGTTACTTTGTACTAACTGTAGAAATAAATAGATTATTTATAACTAATATTTACAAGGTTATTGCTGTGGAATGTTAGAGTGTCAAAACAAGAAATATAAATTGAAAAGAATAACCTGAGAAACATTTTAAGAATTTAAAGTAAAGAACCATCTGCTTTTGAATACAAGGTCAACAGAATTGCAGAAATAAAATAAAAGACATTAATGAGCTGAAGTAAACAACGCGGCTTTTAGGTTTTGTGTTTTCTTCCAGCAAACCTCTTCACGTTCTACATGATCTGTTTTCGTAAATGTGGGATGTCCAACACGGCCATCGTTTACCTGAGCTGTCTGGCCATTGTGGACACCTTCTACCTGGTGTGGGTTATACTTCTGGACCTGACTCTGACCTTTTGGACTGTGCAGCCCTTCTGGCACTCTTATCCATGGTGTGGTATCCTTGGATTCCTTCAGTATGGCTCCCTCTACAGCTCCTCCTGGATTGTGGTGGTGTTCACCATTGAGCGTTACCTCGTCCTCAGAAGCACCGCTTCCAAACAGAATTTTTCTCAAACATGGGACACTAAAATGTTCTGCACAGCTATAGTGCTGCTGTCCCACCTGGTGTCGGTGCCAATGGGTTGGATCAACATTGTCACACCTGTAAACATAACCGTGGACGGAGAGAATATGACACTCCCCCGCTGTCGATATCGCAATCACACCTATTCTACAGTTATAGTCTGGATAGCTACCTTCCTCTCTGGAGGAATCCCCATTGTGCTGGTCATCATCTTCAACTACCTCATTGGATACCACCTGTGCCGGGCCAGCAACCTCTTCACTAAGGAAGAACGGCGCATCATGTATGGAAGGAACACCAGAGGTACATTAAAAAGAACCATTCTCATCCTGGGGACTGTCTCTGTGGCCTTTGTCGTGCTTAGTCTTCCTCGCTTTGTCACATACTGCATCCTAAGGACCAGGTACAATGATGAAAGCTTCAACAGGAATGACTACAGCATTCCAATCAACATAGCCGGGGACGTGGCTAACATGCTCCAGAACCTCAACTCCACCACCAATTTCCTGCTCTACTGCATGGTCAGCCGCCGCTTCAGGCAGGAGCTGGTACATGCTATAACCTGCAAGGCAAAGGCCCGCGAGCTGAGTACTCTCCTGAACCACACTACAATGAAAGTTTTCTCTGTTGTAAATCATAAGGCTTCACTATCAAGCAGCCAGGTGACTGTGGTGTTAACCAGTCTGAAACAGACGGAATAGAATAGAACTTAATTCTGTTGAATTCTGGCCTTCATAGATTCGATCTCTATGATGCTACCATTAGGATGCCAACATGTATTTTTATCCATTCCTTCAGACTGGTCCTACGATGCAATAATTTAAATTACAAGATGCTTGGACATCTAGTAGACCCAAGATGAGTGGTTGTATCACAATTGGATTATTATAGCCAGGCATTTGCTAGAGAGACCAACTGACTGTGAAACAGTGAGTAAAGGCCATCAGCCACTGAGCATGTTTCGTTAACACCTGACAAAGTTTGGTAGGGTCACACTTTGGGTTGCCATGAGGATGCCTGTACCAGGCAATGCCAAAAATTTTAGGACTACTCCTTACAGCGCAATGCAGATTTTTGGATGAATTCATATATTAGTTCCAACATCGAGCCACCATGTTGCCTGTACATCCAACATGCGAGGCTATTGAACACCGCTTCCTGACAGCATGTAGACCCACATTCCTAATATCTTCAAACTTTGTCAAGTGCTAGTATTGAAATCTCAGACAACCATGTGGCACCATCTGAAAATCACACTGAGTCCAGCAGTGTGATTTTCCAATGACTGTTGGAGTCTTTGGCTGCCTCTTTCTGCCTTCTGATTCTTGTTCTAGACATTCAACCTCCAACTTCTGAAAAATGTTGGAAGTTGCATTAACCTCCAAATGGGAGTACTTTTCTAACCCTGGCTTTCTGTACTCCATCCTTGGTCTACATGTGTACCAAATTATGTCCAAATCAAAAAAAATGTTGTGGATGCCTTGATTGGTCGATCAGGTGGTAATTTCTTTAATCAGCCTGAAATGTATGACAACATATATGTTTAACTTAGCTGTTTTTTATGCGTAGTTGTAGTTTGAAAATACTTTAGCAAAATGCTTTAGCAAATATAGCATAATATGCTAAAGCAGGGCTTTTCAAAGTGTAGGGCACGCGCCGCTGCATGAAGGGAAAGCAAGAGGAGAGGGAGAGTTCTTCAGGGACTTGAGTAAAAATAATTAAACCAGAAAAAGTAACTGCAAATATTTAACCAACTTCGCCAAGTCTATACCAGGAAAATGGAAAAATGGATCAATTTTTAGTACCTGAAGTATCATGACTGAGGAGGCAGAGTCTGGGCCAAACAAAAATGAAGGAAAGTATGATGTTAATTATTTGAAGTTGGGATTTTAATGGGTTGGATCTGAAGATGCTCCACTGCTGCAGTGTTTGCAAAATTCTGTGAGTTTGTTTTTTGTTACAGGAAGCTAAATGAACTGCAGTCACATCAGAGTAGTTCATACTTTTAGTGTTTTAGCATATTGTGTGGTGCTACACAGAGCTAAAGCAGGTAAACCCAATAACATCAAGTGGAACCTGGAACATCTAGAATACCAACAGCAGAAAGTTTATTGTTTTGAGGAGGAGCTGTTAGCTTTGCTGTCTGAGAGGGCACTAGCTCTAACAGGCTTTGAAAACCTCTAAGCTAAAGTATTTCTGATAGTAACATCTTGTGTGTGTTGTTAAGAGTTTATTCAGGCTCTTGATGGATCATTGAACATAATAAAAGGAACTGGAGATTCTCTTGTTGCTGAATAAAACTTGGTTTCAGTCAGTTAATTTTGTCCAAGTTGAAATTTCCATTCATCTGAAAACGGGCCAGTTACCAGTATGAAGGCATGCCAAAGTTTTAACATGTTACAATTTTAAAGTTTAAACATTTCTGTCATATTTTAAAGCTGCAGTATGCAACTTTTATAAACAATATGAGTTTTGACATATTTAAAACTGTCAAGATGTCACAGCAGTAAAACACAAGATAGATGTGAAAATATTGTGCTCCTCTGCTCCTCCTTATGCTCCTACTGCCTTCTGCAGAAATACACAGCTCGGTCAGAAACAACCAATCAGGAGGAGGGTCTTAGTGCTATCACGCTGTCAATCATGCTCATGTATTCTCTGCAGCTGTGTAAATGGCAGAGAAAAAACTCACCATTACAGGAAAACTGTTTATCTGTCATCATCTATTCTGAGCATTCACAACAGCCTCTGTAGGCTCTGTAATATATATATAAAACGTTTGAGTTCTGCTTGTGTGGTCACAGAGCATGTTCCTTTTCCATACCTTTACAGTCTTGATTCTTTTCTCATATTAACAGACCAGCTTACAATCTGGGTAAGGTTCAATGAACACACTCGTGTGGTCAGATAACGAGTCAAATTAATTTACAAATCTCTTTCATTTTCAGTTTCAAGAATTGGTATCCTAGACACAGTGAAGCATCTGAAAAGAATAACGCAAGGTTGACTTGTGTTGTAGTCATTGATTCAAATAATCAAATGCTTATTTGATTAAATGGAGTAACTCTAACAGTCAGTTATGTCTGTTACATGTCCATGTCAGAGTGATGTGTATGTGTCATAAGTGTTATGTAAGAGCTGCAACACTGATGTGCTGAAATATTTTACCAATTCCAGAAGCTCCATCACAGTCTGGCTCATGTGGTAATCATGAACCCAATGTCACATCTGATGATCATGTATCAGTCTTTAGCTTAAGTTAACATGAAGCACTGGAAATATCATCTTCTTTTGCATCTAATACTACAGCATACACAATCTGTTCACTATAGGATGACTGCAAATCTGTCACGGATAGTCTGGATATATATATATATATATATATATATATATATATATATATATATATATATATATAACTGTGACTCAAACATTGCAGCAAAGATCCAGTGATAACTTCGTTTAATCCCACACAAAGTTATCAAAATGCTTTATTCACCAGAATCCCTGAAACAGAAAGTGAAATTTCAAACTGTCACTTACTGACTTGCCAATTTTATTGATAATTTTCAGACCATTTTGGAGCATCCAGAATAGTATTTTATTCTCATATGGTCAGCTGATCCTATCCTATTATCCTATTATATTATATTATTAAACTTGACGATAAGACCATAAAAAGTAATGTACCCAGTTCTGACACAGCAGAATACTATAATTTCCACCCTGTTTAAAACTGGCTCACGCAAAAGGCAACACACCTACTTCAAAGACAAACCAGCATTTAATGTTCCTCAAAATCTCCTTAAGCTTAGATTTCCTAACTTGTCAAAATGGCAGCATGTGTCGTAAGAATGTAAATAGTCAGTGAACTTCAGGAAGGCCTTGTGTGAGTTGTTTTCCTGAGGCTGATACACAGCCTCAGTGTGACAGGGGTAGAATCACACATTATTCTTATTAAGGTGAACCTGTTTTAAACTTATTGTTGACAAACTATAAGATGACTGGCAAGTTTGTTTGTTTTTTTAACCAAAGCAGTTAGTTTATGTTGTGCACTTTGTTTTAATCTTAGTAATACAGTAAAGATTAAAGCAAAATAGACTATAAAATAAATTAACTACGCAATGTATCACTGAGAAAGATAAATCCAATAAATTGTTTTAAAAGTATGTTTTTTTTGGGTGGGTGGGAGGGGGGGAGGGGTGTTGTTCTTTACCGTTTAAATATCAGGTCAAACAGTTACACCTGACAGTGTAGCTGTAGAAACAACCTGATGGGCAGTACTGGACTTATTGCCCAATGCCATTTGCATAAATGGGTCACGAGACTGGAAAACTTTGCATAAACCAGGAAGAAGGAATGTTTCCTGTTTGCTTCAGAACAAGTCTGCTCAGTAGTTGAGGAATCGGAAAACTGGAGCTAAGGTGGGTCATATCACGTTTGGCTTTGTTCTTTTTTGTTCTTGTTTTGTAGTTCTGAACACGAGAACTTGTGAGATTTTCTCCTTCTTTGGGAAACGCACCTGCCTTAGCTTCAAATCAGTATTTCTGACCTTTGTACTAGTTTCTGTGTGATCGCATTACATTCCAGCCAGCCTGAACAGGTAGAGTTGTTGCTTCGTACACATCAGTGACAAAGATTAATAACCTAGTAAAGGTACTCCTGGGAAAGGTTTTTCCACGTTCTGTGATATTTTCAGTAGTAGCAGCAGTTTCTGTTTGTTAATCCTGACTCCGGGTAAGCATAAAAACTGTCATAGAAGTTCTTATGCAACATTCTGTGTCTGTCTCTCTATGTTGGGTAGAATGGTATGAAGGGTGTTCTGTTTTCTTAGATTGCTGAAATGTTGTTCTCCTTTCCCCTAAAGTAGCTTCCTGTGAAGAAAATGGACAGTCTCAAAGGTAGGCAACATTTTCTTTCTCAGTCTTGCTGTGTTTGAGGAAGATCTGTCTTGTTGATCAGAAAGTAGTTCCCTGTAAACTGAAAACTTATTTTCCTTTTGGCTTGTTCTCTTAGGTCCTTGCTCTCATCGGAGCATTCCTGTTGAGACGGATGAGCGGATGACAGTCTCAGGTATTGACTTGGCCTCGTTCCCTTCTTGTGACCAGTGTGGCGGACATGAAGAGAGCATCAGGAAAGTTGAGAAGCATGGCTGTGGTAGGGAAGTGTGTGGGGTGGGCCCCGCTAGACTCCCTGAGGGACTGTGTGAGTATGAAGGAAGAGCAGCTGCTCAGGCTTTTGCTGACTCTCGCTTTATGCCCCAACATGCGGCTCACCCAGTAAGACAGAACCAGCCATTTTACGAACAGGACCCCAGGAATGATCAGAGGAGGGGCCTCACAGGCCCTTCAGACTGTTCTTTTGAAGAAGCAGAATCCTTGGAGCCTCCATTACCACTCATGTCAAACATGAACTGGGTTCACCACAATGTGCCACAACACCAACCGTGTATGCCAGGTCAGTGGAACTGCTGTATATTCAACATGATGTCCACTCTAACAGTAAGGGTAAACACAGTGCACTTGTATTTACTGAAAAACCTTTTGTTTACACCTCTTTTCAATCCATTATTTTGAATAGTTAACCTTTTAGGTAAGTAAGAAAATGAAGTCTGTGAAATGGTATCGCATACTGTGCCTTCCAAAGTAATTCATGTTCTCGATTTATCCATATGTAACTCGATATCGATGATGTTAATTTGTTAACATGTCATGAAACACAAAGACTCTCAGTGAAGACCCATGCTGAGACAGATTTATATGGTCTGTCATGTAATTCAGCCACTTCCGTGTTGCTCTAACAATGAATTCAAGTTTACTGAACATATCTGGTATCAGCTTTCAAAAGTTTGAACATCTGTGATAAACAGCTTTGTGTTTGTGTGAAAGGTTCATATGTTGTGGCTGAAATGTACTCTGTCTATACAAGTAGGCCTGTGACAATAACAGACTTTTATGGATGATAAATGGTCCCAGAAGTTATTGCGATAAACAATAATATTGTTTATTTGAGACCATTTTCAAATAATATAATATTAGTTATATTACAACTCATTCTAAAAGAACAATAAACTGTAAATTCTAACAAACATTTAACCCTGGAACTATTTAAATATCTAAAATAAAAAACAAAACAACAACAAAAATTAATTATGAAGTCTCTGTGGACAAAAATATCCTTCAAAAAAAGAAATAGTTTAAATCAAAGCACCAAACTAAAGACTGTCATCCAGGTTTTGGTGGAAAGAAAGAGAAAAGGGAAAATTGATAAATTATGCAAATGTAAATTACTGAGTTTGTTTTAATTTATTATGCGATTAATTGATTTATTGTTTATTGTGACAGACCTATATACAAGAGGTTCATATTTGTTCTACCATTCTTCCCTGCAGGCCTTGCTACAGTACAGAGACAGTATCACCAACCCGCACCCAATCACCAGAAGAATTACTGTCGATACAATCAGGACCTTCCACCCCAAAAACAACAGTTTGTTTTCAGACTTCTACTTATTTACCAGTGGTGTATATAATACTCTCTGCACTTTGTCTTCATGGTGGATTATGTCTTGTATTCCTCTGCAGGAATGTCCCACACAGCACTCCTCAGCTTGAAGAGGCTCAATATGTTGCTCGAGGTTTAATGCCTCAGTGCACACCCCCTCCTGCTAATGTGATGCGTGAAGTCAGCGTGGGCTGTTCTGCTGCTGCAGGTGCAGGAGCGTTCACTGGAGAGATCAGGAAGACCATCAGCTTGCCTGAGGAGAGCAGTAAGCTACATCCTTATATAGCAGGTGCTTGCTACGTCACCCTCTTCTGGTAAAAGGTGTTTCACTCACCTCTCGATTCCAGGGAATGTTTTTATCACATATTCCGTGGACACTGCTGGTGAAATCATTAATTTTGTCGGATTTTTGACCAGCCAGGGTTTCAAACCAGCTGTAAGTCTCCTAACCTTTCCATCAGCATTTGAGACAATCAAACGTTTCACACACTGAGCTTGCATGAATCTCCACAGATTGACATCTTTGACAATCCAATCCGAAGAATGGGCATTAATAAGTGGATGGATCGTTACCTGAATGATGTGAGTCTGTCTGATGACCTGTCAATACCTGTCAATACAGAATATTTTCTAAAAGCTGACAGAGTGGTGGTGTTTGACAGAAATCAGTGCTCATCATCGTGGTCATCAGCCCCAAGTATAAGGAAGACGTGGAGGGAGGTGGAGATGACGACCACGGCCTCCACACCAAGTACATTCACAACCAGGTCAGTTGCCTGTGCACAGGATCTTATTGCAGTCATGCTGGACAGTGATACTCCTAACAGAAAAAAAAACAAGAAGTAGATAGCTTAGCCTATGTGAAAGTTGTGGTGTACCACTATCTATCCTTTGCTCTGCCACAGATTCAAAATGAGTACATCCAACAAGGCTGTCTAAACTTCAGACTGGTTCCTGTGCTGTTTCCCAATGCAACTAAGGTAAGAACAGACTTTCACAAAAATCTTAATGTTGTTAATTCTGACTATTAAACATCTCTTAAGATCCATCCAGCTTTAATACCAGCACGACTCCTGCATGTCATGAAGAGCCAGTGCCCATGTCAAGTTGTCAGTGTTCAAGGTGCACCCTGGACATGGTGCCAATTCATCAAAGAAGTCAAAGCAAACTATCAGATGAACACCAATAAGAAATTTAGATTTTCAAGTTAACCTTGTATACCAAATACCATGGACAGGGAGAACTTACAAATTCTATACACAGACCAGGATCTGAACTCTGAAGAGGTAGAGTACACTCTGACCAGATCAACACAGGGAACCACAGGACAACCGGGAACGCACACACTCTTACCAATTGACAATTCAGAGTGAACAATTGGCCCAACAGTCATGTTTATGTATGGACTGTAAGAGGAAGCTGGTATACTCAAAGAGAACCCATGAATGAACAGGAAGAACATAAGCTCAGAAAGATCCCAGGTTAGGATTCAACTCCAGAGATTCTTACTACATGTTTACTGATTTTGATGTTGGCATTTGACAAAATGTAACGTTTATTGCTTTTTTTCATACTAGGTGACTGTATGACGTTTTTATGAAGCAAAGCACTTTGAACTGCCTTGATTGAAATGTGCCAAATAAACTTGACTTGACTGCATGACAAAAGTTATTAAAAACAGAGACACCATTTAACAAAGAGGTGGGCAACCCTGGTCCTCAAGGGCCGGTGTCCTGCAACTCTTACATGTCTCCCTGGTCCTACACACTTGAATCCAACAGCTGAATCACCTCCTAAGTGCAGTCAGGTTCTCCAGAGTCCTGCTAACAACCTCATTATTTGACTCAGGTGTGTTGAAATAGAGGCACGTCTAAAAGTTGCGGGAGACCGGCCCTCGAGGCCTGGAGTTGCCCAGCCCTGATCTAACCTGAGATAGCAGAGAAAAAATGACATTTAGTGCCTTTTTTATTTAAACGCCGTTGTATATTTTAAAACAACCTCTGTGCAGTACCCTCCCCTTCTTCTGTCAGTTAAGAAAGTGAAGTAAATGTGGTTTTCAAACTACCCTGGGGACTCCCACAGCATCACAAAGAATAGAATTTGGACTGAAGCTGATAACAGCATGGATGGTCTCTGTCTTTGGTCTGGACCACATGGCGTCTTCATTCTAATTTAAAATGTGTTTGGTTCTTCTTAAGGTTTGAGCCATACTAAACAGACAAGCACTGAGATGAAAAGGGGAATGAGCTGTTGGGAGTGTGTAGAGCTGAGATAAAGAGACTTCAAGAGACGGGTCCCCTGTTTGCTGACCCATTCTGCTGTCTATTTCTGTTAGAGACACGTGCCAAGCTGGCTCCAGAACACCAGGCTCTACCGCTGGCCCCGCGACACCCAGGACCTGCTGCTGCGTCTGCTCAGGGAGGAGCGCTACATCATCCCGCAGCGGGGCCCTGACATCACCCTTACTGTTCGTCCTTTGTGATGATGAAAAAAATTAACTCTTAGAAAATAGGTTTTCTTCCCAGAAGCCAGACATAGAGAATCAAACAATTTAGTTTGAATCTTTGTCGTTTGTTCCTCTTTTTTCACGTTTTTGTTGATTTGAGGTAGCTTCACCTCCAGTATTTATTACTCAAGCCATACTCTTAGAACAGATGAAAACAGGCACAGGAAAATCCAAGAACCTAAGCATTTAAAGTTATTATCATTGATTATTGATATGCTTGGAAATAATTATTTTTTGACCAGCAGGGGGAAGCAGAAGAAATTATACACTCACATCTGATTAGTTTACAACATTCTTTGGTAAACAATTTTTAAGTTAACCACACATTCAAAGGTATCAACATTTACAAACATGTATATTTCTGTGGAATCATGTTTTATTCCTTTTGTTTATGAAACATTTGACCATTCAGGTACAAGGAAGCTCTCTGAGTATAAAAACATCTTTACTGGAACTGTAGCTACGTAGTTAATTTTCAGCTATTAAATTTCCGAGACTTCTCAGATTACATATGCACGTTTATTATGTCATTATAGATAACATCATTCGTAGATTTATCAGCTTCATTTTACACTCTGTCAATGTTTGGGATGATTGACCAGTAGGTGGCAGTATGCATCAATGATAACCCTACAAGAACTAAGAATCGCTTTGCTGTTGTAATAAAATCATGAATGGAAGCTAAATGGTGGGGATTTTATTTTGCGGGAGAAGAAAAAAAAACTTAAGTGGATTAGTAAAGCATCAGCGTGTTACCGTGTTCTGTAGGCGAGCCACAGCTCACACATCCGGTCCAGATGTTCCACACCAGCGCCCTGATAAGGGAGCATTGTGCCTGCAACGACCTGGACTTCATCCTCCTGCCCTGCCGCTGTGCCCCGACTCACTCAGAAGGTTGTTAAAGCTGCCAGCAATGGATGATTTGCTCACATCTGCTATTGTTCTCTCTCTCTGTGTGTGTGTGTGTGTGTGTGTGTGTGTGTGTGTGTGTGTGTGTGTGTGTGTGTGTGTGTGTGTAAGAGAGAGAGAGAAAGAGACATAAATGCAGTTACTAAATAGAATGGAAATCAAGACTCAAGAGACAAAGTCCTCACTTTGCATTGAAGTACAAGGATGTGTGTACCAGGTTTCTATATCCTTAAGGGGACCTATTCTTTATACATTGTGTGTGTGTGTGTGGGGCGGGGGTGGGGGGGGGGGTGTATGTGCCTGTTTCTGTGTGTGTTATCAGCACCAGGTGTTTTTTAATCTAAGCACAAATGCAGCCAGAACCAATAAATCCAGCCTTTGTTATTGTGCTGCTGGACACCCAGGCCGCTCCACGCAGCCTTATCAGGCTCAGGCATTTTCCCCATTTTTGAACTGGACCTTGCTTCCATCTTTTCCCACAGACTTGCATATCACAATTTGTATATGTTTTGGTTTTAGATTTTATTAAACTCAGTTTGATTAGACGGAAAGCATTTATTCTCAATTTGATTTAAATCCTGATCCTTAGACTGCACCATTATGGCAGATGAATCTGCAGTGATGTGAACCATTCATGGAAGGTAAACTTTCACTCAGTCTTATGTGCCATCAAATAGGTTTTCTAGTAGAGTTTTCCTTCATTTATCTACATCTATTCATCAGCTATAACCAACATCCCTGTTCCTACTGAAGGTACAGGGATGTTCCTGACCCCTCCACCACCATGTTTCACTGTGGGTACGATGAAATATAGTATATGTGGCAGTACTATTGTGCCACACATAGGGTTGTACAGGTAGGTAAGACAGTTCCATTTTTGCACCTTCTTACTCTTGCCCCCTACATGTCTTGTTGCAAACTTTAAATTGGACTTCATTCGATAATAGTTTTACCCGTTCTTCTCTTTTATGAAAGCCAGATTTTTGGAGTGCATAACTCATAGTGAAACAGTCAACAGGTTGTCAACCTGGAGTTCATCCATCCTCTTGTCTGAGTGATGCTCTTCTTGCCCTGATCTGTGAGTTTACATGTCTTGAGTGAGTTTAAGGTTTTCTGTTATGTTCTCCATGTTCAGATGATGGATTGAACAGAGCTCTCTGAGATGTTCAGATCATATTGTCTCAGAACCTAACCTTGCTTTAAACATCTTCTTTCCTAACCTGTCTGCTGGGTTTCTTGTTCATGATAATATCAGAGTAAAGACAATCGTATTAATGCTGAAACAATATATATATTTCTGTAAAACATGTTGAAACCTAGCACTCCTGCTTTGCATATAGAAGGTCCTGGATTCGAATCCCAGCCTCAGGTCTTACTGCATGGAGTTTGCATGTTCTCTCTGTCCATGCGTGGGCTCTCTCTGGGTATTCTGGCTTCCTCTCACAGACCAAAAAAATTAAAAAGACAACATGACTGTCAGATTATTTGGGTTCTTTAAATTCTCCTTAAGTGTGTGTGTAAGTGTTTATAAGTGTGTGTGCATGATTGTTTGTTGTCCTGTCTGTCTTTGTGTTGCCCTGTGATAGGCTGGCGATCTGTCCAGGGTGATCCCACCTCTCGCCTGTTGACCGCTGGACAGAGGCACCAGTACCCCTGGCAACCCCAGTAGGGATAAGAGTATATGATAATGGATGGATGGGTGTTGAAACCTTGCATTCATTGTCATAATTCTTCACAATTTGTGTTGTCTTTCACACAAAATCCTGACAAAACAAACTCATGTTTGTAGTTCTACCATGACAAACTATGAAAACGTTCAAAGGGTATGAAATGTCTCCTTTTTCATGTATCATCTTTCTTATTTTTTTTCTAGACAACTCTAGCTGATTGACCAGAAATATTAATATAAGTTCAATGTCTTGATTAGACTAAAGGACTGAAAAAGACTGTTTTGAAATATTTCTGCGGCATAGCAAAATAAAGCACTGTCGGCCAGTTAAATTATGGCAACCATTTTTTTTGGCTTTATTGAAAGTGTTATTCATCTCAAGTTTGCTATGCTATAATAAATAGTCTTGTACCAGTCCATATCTCCCCCAGCTGCTGCTAACAGTGGTGCATCAGGTTGTTTCTGTCATTCATTTAAATAACAGAGCTAGCTATAATCCTCCCGACTACCAAGAAAAAACTTATTGTCCAATCACCATTTTTTTTAAATCCCACATTCGTTGTAAGGTAATAAAGGTTTTATGCACTTACTTTGTCTCTTCCCATAAAATGTGTTATTACTGATTAACGCCATTTTTATGAATTAGAAAAAGGTACGTACAAAAGTCCCACCCCTTCACATGTGGCATCATTGAAAAGCCCTAAATGTCCTCTCCAGATACCAAAAGGAATTAATTCAGTAGAATGCAGAGGGTGGGAGATATTGAAGTTTAGAAATGTCCTCTACTACTGGTAGTCAGGAGGATAAGAAAGCGACATGTGTTTTAATGTTTCTGTGTAATGCAAACTGCTCCAAATGTTTTGTTTTGCAAACAGGAAAAAATCTTGCCCAATTGATCATATTAACGTTGTTTTGGTTCATTTTATTAAACAGACAATATTATGTCAAATCAACTTTTCTGAAGTTTACATAAGTTTATTCCCTAATCAAAAGCAGAACTGGTGTGTTGCTTTGATTCTTTCATGGATGTTTGAGAAATCAACAGGAGAGCAGGAGTTTTTAAAGAGACAGAGGCCTGATTTCAATGCATAAAATATATAGCATTTTTATAACAACTGAAGGTAACATAGTTATTTGATTGTGCTATAAAAAGGCAATATGTGCTTGGAAAATACTTAACACTGCCCCTTTAAATAATAGAAGACCTGTACTATAACAGAAGATGGGAATTCACGAAGTTTGATTAGTACAATTATAGCCTCAAAGTTATCCAAACTATCTGTCCTATTCTCATTTCTGGATCAGGTACCAGAGCAGTAAATTGGCAAACTTCTACCCTGTCAGCATATCCACAATTTTCATTTCAGGAAAAAACTGTGACAATGAGTCAGAACTTTGCCCCTGTCTATCCTTGATTCATCTCCATCTCTATCACTGTGACATGCTCTTTAAATCCAAAGGCTTATCTGAGCAGAAAATGGCTCCTCTCCCTCTGGGACCATCCATGGTGAAATCATCTGCACTCGGTGTACTATGAGGCACTTTAGATAAAAGCTCACACCAAACACTGCATTAACTGTGGCATATATCATATTTTTTTAGATTAGTTTGATGGTAAATTTGTCCCTCAGATGCGCTCTCAGCCCTCAGGCTGGCTGTCGGCAAACCTGAGCAGATGCTTGCTGATTGGCTCATTAGGAAAGCCAGGCTCTCACTCAAGGTCAGCCTACTCTCTATCAGGTTAAGATTCCCTTTCCATCAATGTGAAGATGCTGATGAGGCATTTTTCATCGCCATGAAGTCATTAAATGTGATGTCCCCGGGATGAACCAGCTGTTTGGAGAGGCGGTCGGCTCCTCCAGTGGAGAGGGGAGAGCGTAGGGAGGCCAACCCACCCCACTTTGCTTCCTGCCACTTCCAGGCTGCTACATTAGACTGAGTGGAATTCTGAAGAGGAAGAGAGGCAGCTGTGCCAGGGAAGCAGCCTCTAGAGACACCCAGGACTGGTCATGTAAATTACAAGACTGAACATAGGTTGGAGGACCAGAAATGTCCATTCTAACAAGTCTAAAACAGTACCATTACATTAGTATTCTCTCAATGTATGGAGCTTTGTAAATGTATATTTCTTTGATTCATTTTGCCCCAATTTTATATGATGGACCAACTTACAACAGTGCCCAAATTGGATGCAAAAGAAAAAGGGTTCAGTTTAGTTCTTAATAAAAATCTAAAAAAGTGTGATTAGCATCGGGACCACACTTTACCCCTGATAGCCCCTAATTAACATCCAGTATAGTGCACCTTTGTGAAATTGCTTAATCTCAAACTTTGATTACTTCACTGAGCACTGAAATTAGCTGCAGGCAAAACACTAACATTGCAGATCATCCTTTTCTCTAGAAGGGACATTGAAGCTAATCAGAGTGGATGGAGATAAATGGAGAACAATCCTGAGGTAAAACTTGTTAAAAGCTTCAAAATACTTGAAACTGGGGTTAAGGTTCACAGTCAAGCAGGACAACGTTCCTAAACATACGGCCAGATGTGCTACGGAATTAGATTAAAACATAATAATATGTTTGAATGACCCAGTCAAAGTCAAGATCTAAATACAAAGTAGAGTCTGGGAAGTGCACATATACAGATTTCTAACAATTTTTAAATTAAAATTTTATGTCATGAATAATAGTTCTTCCACTACACCACAATGGACTATTTTGAATTGCTCTGTCAAAATGTGTGATAAAACCACATTTCAAGCATATTTCTTAGAGAGTTTAACTTTTAGAGGAGTTGGGTATCTGAAAAAAAAAATCTGTCAGCTGTAACTTTTTTCACTGTTTGGCCATTATTAGGCAGTAAAAAAAATACGTGCATTTATGCAAATATACAGATAAAGCAGGGGACATGTAGAGGAGGATGGAACAGAGGTGGAAGTATGTTCTGGAAAAGCGAGGAATAAAGATTAGTCGCCAAAAGACATAATGTGTGTAAATGGGAGGAGCACAAGTGGGATAAGGAGTATCCCACTTGGGCTCTTCTCCCTTACTTCTGTAAGTGTGGAGAAGAGGTGAAGACCTGTATGCAAGCAGGGTGGAATGGGTGGAGAAAAGTTTCAGGTGTGATAAGAGTTTCATCTTCCTGGGGAACTAAATCCGTAGAATGAGGTGATAGCATGGGCCTTTTTTTTTTTTTTACCAAAACCAAATAATATGAGAAAAATAAACTCTGGAAGCTACAGCTAATTTTACTAAAAAGCCTTTTAAGGAGGCAGCATACTTTTAGGATACATTAACATTATTTTTCAACTTAACTTTGAAATTTTCCGTTATCAGTACTTCCGTTAGGTCTATGACATAATTTCCTTACCGGAGGTCGCGTAGAAATAAATTGTACCTCATATTGTTGGTAGGGCTTGTATGACTGCTGTGTATATTTGAAAATATGTATTTTTGAAAGTATGTATTATTAGTAGTGAAACTGAAGACCATAAATAACCAAATTAACGCATTCTTTGTAATTCTCTGACTGTGACGCCTGTATTTGCTTTGTTTTGAAATGAACACCGGAAGTAGAGATGATGAAGTTGTGTCCAACTTCATCATCTGTTAGTTAACCTCCTGTATGTAGCCTATTATGGAAGAAGGGGGAGCAGAAGCCGGGGGCTGTCTGATTGAGAAGGACTGGCTGGGATTAGCTCTCTGAGACGTGATTTGGGAAGATAACGCTGCATACCGGAAGCCTGCGAAACGTCTTCCTCGGCTTTAAACAATAACATCACCGAGAGCTAAAATCACGAGTTAGCATTAAGCCCAGCATGGATCCAGCAGCTGGAGAGAACCGGGCAGCAGCGCCAGAAGCAGCGGCAGCCCTCCGCCATCGAGGTTAGGTTTCGCGGCAGGAGTCGAACCTTTTACGGCGGTGACAGTCTAGGCGCGCGGAAGACACGGGAATCTTTGTTGCTGTTTTTTTTTTTCTTCATGGGATGCAGCTGGGCTTTCTCCTCGCTCTATTACCCGTTTTACCGCGGTGACAGCCCTCCATTTGGCTGACTTGGAGTAGCCTATAAGGTCCCGGAATCTTATGGACTCCCTGCAATAGTTTTTTTTAGCTTTTCTTTTTTCTCTACCGCTCTTTCTGACGGACGCGGCAGTCATGTTTGCAGTGCGCATAGTCACCGCAGACTACTATCTCGCAAGTCCCATTAAAGGCCTGGACGTGTGTTACTCTGAATTCAGGGAGAGTGAGGTGAAGAAGGTACCGGTGGTGCGGATATTTGGAGCAACGCCAGCAGGTTTGTCACTCATTTTTCTTCCTTTGGGGAAAAAAAAGGCAAAACAACCTCACTTGTGCATTCTTGAAGCGCGCGCGCGCGCGCGTGGAACGTGCTTGTTGCTGTTGTTTGGACTCTCGCGTGCACAAATACAGTGTTAAGGGAAACCTAGCGGGTCGGGTGTTGTATGCAAAACGGCAGGAAGATGTAGTTTGGGTGTTGACACGTTGTGGCGATGCGACCTGAGCCGCTGTTGCTGCCAGCAGCAGCAGCAGCAGCAGCGGTGGGAGTCCTCCGCTCCCTCCTCCCCTCCGCGCTGCTTTGTTTTCTCCCCCTGCTCCATCACGGTGTGCTGGTGGTGGACATGTTTCTGCTGGTAGCAGTGGCACATATGTGCTGCCAAGGAGCAACTTCCAACCATCGCGTTGTGGTGGTTTTTATTGTACTTACAGCAACCTGTGGAGCGCGGACAGCGTGCTGCCACATTGTCTAGTTAGTTTGAATACGGTGCTATTAAAACAAACAAACAAGCATAAAAAAAAAACCCCGACATGGAGTTCAGGGATATAAAAGCATACACGAGTAGACTGGATCAGCATCCAGATGTGAAGAGCAGAGCTGGTGAAGCAGTAGTCGTCCTCCTGATCACATAGAAGGAGAGTCTTTTGTGTGAGAACATCTTGTTTTTATTTTATGCCTTAATTATTCCCATTAGTAGAAATGTCATAGATAATAAAAAAAGACTATCAGTATGTGATTTAGACATTTCCCTCAGTTTGACACACTACCTTTCTGTATTAAATGCGTTTTAAAGATACCCACTTTAGGCACATTAACATCCCCCACACACACACACACACACACAGACTGCACAATAGTATAATTTCCCATCTTAATAGCCCAAACTACCTTTGTTTCTTTTCTCCCTATTTTTTCCCAACAGATCAAAATGCAATTGTGTTGCCTTAACTGTATTTTCAGTTGTTAGTTCCCCCACTTAAAAAAAGAAAGTTAACCCCCCCTCCCACCCTTCCATTCCCCAAACAGCCAACCCCCGCTACATTGCAACCTCCACTAAGGATTTATCTCCATTGAGGATTAAAGGATTTAGGATGGAGTGGGTTAGAGTGTCGGTTCTAATTTGGGCCTGTTTGCATCTACTTGTATACGGTTGTGTTAAAACAAGGATTTCCACTTATTAAAACAGAATAAAGCTTATCTAGTACAAAACACCAGTCCCAATTATGAGCAGTGTCCCACTGGAATGAATATCATCTAACTGGAAATTAATTATGTTTGGGGAAAAGGAAGAGAAAGGAACAACCTGAGAAAATACAGCAGAATCCACTCAGTAACATTTGGGTATTCGTTTCTTCTAAGCAGGTGACAGTATCTTGTGTGACACAACACAACAGTCAATTATTAAAACCTTTTGCTAGACCCGCTTAAAATATGTATTTTCCATCAAATATAGAATTTTTGTAGGATCATGTTTGTCTCACTCATGAAGAAGCACTGACAATATTCCAAGTTCTGCTAAAATGGCAACACCTTTGTTCTCTTGGTTCTAACCTTCCTTTGTGGGGAACGTTTAGTTTGGATGCTACTGAGCTCTCTCTGTGACTGGTTCCCTCCATATTCTCAGTTTCATCCTTCTCCGACTCAGTTTAGGTTCATTTTATGACTCTTTTCCCAGAAATAAAATCCCATTACCATCTGGAACATATTGCAGCAGACGGGGATCTTTCTTGGTTTTTTTTTTTTTTTTTTTTTTTTAAAAAAATTCTTTCCTCATTGAAAATCGGACCCCACCCTTCCAGGTCCATTCACTCTCCTCACTTTCTTTTGTCCTTGCATTGAGTTTAGTTGACCAGTGAGCAGTTTAGGTAGTTGTGTGCCAGCTAATCCCTGTTTTTAGCCACCATGTGGCTCTGGCTGGATCCCCAGGCCTCATGTTCCCTGTCCTTCCCTGACCTAAGCAGTGAACACTCCCATCCGTCTCATGTGTAATTTGATGCCACACTTCCTGCTCCCACCCTCTTTCCCCTTGCTGGAAGTATTCAGTGGCGGTCCTGCTGGTGTGGCAGACTGTTGCATACGAGAGCATTCCTGGAGAGAGGAGATAAAGGAAATCTGTTAAAGTTTTATTCCTGATCAGTTTGTTTCTAGCTTCACAGGCAGCAAAGTTCAGCAATAAAACTATATTCACACTGCAACCTAAAGTTATTATTTATTTTTTTTTGCAGCAACAGCGGCTGCTGTGATATGCTTTCCTAAATCTGATATGTATCTTATCTTTTCAAATGTGACTTGTGTGTATGGCCAGGTCATTGATATTTGTCAAATGTTACTGTCCTGTGTCCTGATATGTCAAAGCCAGAAGAGCAACAACCATGGAGGACAATAGAGGTGCACCAGTTTATCCACCAGCCAATTTCCTTAATTTTGGGAAATCTGTGATCAGCTGATACTTACATGTGAAGCCGATCTTATCCACCGATCCTATCTACCTCAGCAAAGATCTAAAAATCAACCACTGTCCTCTTTTGCTCCCTCATGTGTCTGAGAGAGGTTTGGCTGATAGGCTGGCCCACCAGGTCATGTCTGCACATTTGCAGTTAACAATACTTACCCCACTGTGCTGGGTCCGTTTGAACAACAACTCTAAAATCCCAAGATACACGACACCACTAGCATCCATGTTTACTTCCTCAAACACTGAACTACACTACGTGTGATATTACTGCGTCTTGTACTGCACATGTGGGACACTTTTAGGACATTTGCAGTTCACAAAGGAGATCGCATACAAGCTACATTGGAAATGGGAACAACCACACAAAAAAAGAAAAAAGAAAAAAAACAGACTTCACAAAAAAGTCACAATTGAGCATTAAGGCCTCCTGTGTTAATGTATCCTAAAAGCTCATGATCCAACCTTTTGAGGAAATGCCAGAATCGATTTTTCACACTTGGTGATAGTCGGCTTGGCCCAGATGTTGCTGATGTTGCTGATATGTTCTGGGTCTTGAGGCGGAGAGGCTTTCTGGTTTGGATCTTTACTTGTACATCTAAATGTTTATTAAGTTTGCATAAACAGAAAGAGGGAAACTGCATGACTAGCCGACCAGAATGGGAGGCCAAGCAGGGACGGATTTAGCTCCCTCTCCAGAGTAATCCTTCAGTGATGGGTCTTTGCTTTTATGCAAAGGTTGGCAAGAGGATGGGCAAAGTTTTATTAGAGGATCCATAACCAAAAATATTCTGTTTCTGTAGCCTGGTACCTAAAGTTGCAGTCTTCAGTCAAGCTTCTGTCTTCTCAGCTCCTCCAGACTAGCGGGAGCAGCAATGATCAAACACTTACTGGAACTGAGCATCTGCTGAGCTCATAATACATACTGCTTCTCAGATGTAAATGGTATCATAGAGAAGCACTGTTGTGAGAGTGTGCCAAAGGCATCAGGGAGTTTTCTTTAGACTAGATTCTTAAAGTTTTTGAGATTCATCTACTTATGCAAAAGATGGCTAAGTTTGAGCCTTGTCTGCATTTACACCTAAGATTAGTTCTGTTGCGATTGTGGCCTGGAAGTACTTGTATTTCGAACTTTAACTGGTCAGATAAAGGTCTGAATTATTATTTCTTTTGATCGGTTGGTCATTGAGCAAATCTTATGATGCTGAAAATCGGCCTATTCCACTCAACCAGCTGATCTTGTGGTGGCTTTTCTATTCTCCTTGCTCCCTGTTTATTTGGGTTAATTTCTAACTCTGTTCTAATTTCTGCCTGTGTTGCCTGTATTTAGTTTACAACTACTACAAACATAGATTTGGCAACTTTTCTGTTTCTCAGTCACCAGGCATCCAGATGATTTGTGGTGTGTGGTATCTGGTTTCAGAGAGACTTGTCCAGACACCATCAAGGCTGCCACAGCCAAGAGCTTTAATAGGTGAACAGGCACTGAAGTCTTCCCTCTGCCTTTCACTCGTCTGTGTAAATCACAGAAAAATTTGGGAGGAGGCTTTGTGCTTAGAGGCTATAATACCACAGTCTGGATGACTGACCGAAACTAGGAAACACCTTTAGCTCTAAACTAAGCATATAACTTCAGGTGATATACGAGAGACCAAGCAGTTTTATTAGAAGTCACTGAACTGTATTATCTAATTCTACAATACCATAAATCACATTTGGTGATTTTTTGTTTTTAAATCAGACGCTTTAGACCTACAGCTTTGTGACATAAAGTCTCCGGTGGCACTTAGAGCTTTTCAGTTAGAGATTAAAAGAACAGCCACTACTGCTGAAGGTCCAGATAGTTTTCATATTATGCTGTTTATGCCTGTCGCAATAAATTAATGAATTAAATAACAAATTAAAACAAGCTCAGTAATTCCCATTTGCATGATTTATTGTTTTTCCTCTTTCTACCAAAATCTCTTCCTGTTCTAGTATTAAATGATATTTAGAATTTTTAAAGTTTATTGATCTTTCACAGTGTGTTCTTCCATTATTATGTCATTTCCATTACATTACTTGCTTTTTGTAGTAACGTCTGGGACAATTTGTTGCCCAACAAAATGTGTTATAGCAACAGGCCTCATGCTGTTCATGTCATGTTTCTGTGTTCTTTTCAAACATCACAAAAGAGACAAAATGTCCTTTTAATTTATCTTCTGCTCCTAAACAAATCCGTCTTGCTTAAGTCTTAACAAAGGTCATGTCAGCATTTGATCTATGAGATTTATTGATTATAGCTAATGCATTCTCAAAATCAGAATGTTTTTTTTTTCTGCATTCAGCCCCACCCACAGACAAACAGGCCTCATCGTCTCTCACTGTCATGTTTCCCTTTAAAACATATTTCACTGTCAGACCGGGAGAAAAAAAAAAGAGCCTACATGAACCGTCAATCCTTCCCATGCAGAGGCTGCTGTGCTGCCCACACCACCCCTTCTTTAGTGGGGTTTCTTGTTTATCTGAGCATACAGTGGCTGCCTTGTTGTCCTTGCTGGTGTTTTGG